GCATGAAAAATTCTACTTACCGACATTATCGACAGCCTTAGATTATTGTCCACTTATGGGAATGCGAACCTGTCTTATGAAAATCCAGAAGGGCATATCAAAACTCGCCCGACGAGATTTTCACAGAGAAAGGGTGAATGCCAGTTCCAATACACAATGTTGTGAACAAAAATCACCCACACGCGATTATACACGCCCCACGATTGTCCACAGTGTCCACAAGTATCCACAAATAATCCTTTCAGGCACTAACCACTATGCAATTAAATAAACACGCACCGCGATTATGTTATTCGTGAATGTCTACGTGATGTGTATCACGATTCTTCTGAGTTACTTACGAATAAAACTGTTATTAATTTTTCAAATAATAAATGTTAATAACTTTGCAACGAAGCCTCCATCAACAAATTAGTATTCTAGATTTTCGCCTTATTTTGACCTCTACTATCGCTCATTAAAATTTTTGCCGTATGTACAATAGCCAAATTATAAGTTATCGCGGCCTGTTAATCGGCCTCTACCGCAACAATTAAACCCGAAGAAAGGACCATAGTCCTGACGATCGTTTTTGTACTCGGGGAGACGCTCCTTTTTATACGCGCCACTAGTGGAGTGGGAAACCTCCCCTGTGCTCCAACCCCCCTATAATACCAGGAATAGCCGGTGGACTCACCGGCGGAGATTTTGCGCCCAGGGACGTTCCCGTGCTCCTCCTATCACCTATACCGGATGTAGATTACATTCTTTAACTCATTTATCGCACCCGGTTAACAGCTCGCTTCAAATATAGAATTAATTAATTAATTAACTAACATTAATTAATTAACCTATACTAACCACAATAATTAACAACGAATAATTAATAATTAATTAATACATGAAATACAATAATCAATGCCCGAACATAAAAACTACCAATGACTCAACTAGTTACGCTTAAGCCTGGTCTACAACAATCTAGTTACTTCCTATCTGGTATGTAACTATGCCTAACATAGGGCCGAGGGGTCGGAGTGAGGAGACGTACGCTACGCGGACGTTACAATATTTTTTATAAATAATTGTTTAATCACCAATTAGGTATTGTCTATACCACCGATTCAATAAGAGTTTATGTTTATAGAACGTATGGATTCTAGTACAATTAAACTCGGGAATTTCTGTGGATGTTCCTTTGCAGCGTTTATTAAAATATGCAATCACGAGGGAAAAAGCCTAGGTGCTGAATTGCGCACCCGGTAGTTATTTTCTAATCCGGCGGACTGCCACACGTGTCGTCTCTCCTTCCGTGCTTGACGAAGAAGACAGGACTTCCCCGTCCTTACGCAGAACAAGCAATTGTTTCCTAGGGCGGCGTGACGGTCTACTCCCTAGATCTGCATATCGCATGGTGACCGGTGACGGTACTACAGCGTGGTCAGAAACCCGCGCTGCATACTGCCGAGACTGCAGCGCCACATGTTCTAACGAATCGAAACACTGACCACTTAAAAAATTAGTAGTTTTACAGTGCACTCTATCATTAAGAACAATGACTCTAAGAATCATATTTAATCCGATCATTGACGTCGGTAAGGTCAACAAATTCATGAATTTTGCTTCTGACGCGGCATCGATAAAAGTTTTGATAAAAAATTATTTACGTATTATACGGTCGTATGATTCTAAAGTCAAGATACTTTTACATTACTCAAATTAGTCATGAACCATATGATACATCAGGGCCCGATCCTCAAAATTAGGATCTGGAAAAGCAAACGCGAAAAGTTCTCATCGTTCGAAATTTTAAATGGAATTGTACGATACAATTAATTCAAATTATTTGAAATTTTAACTAAACAAAAAAAACGTGAACAATTCGTAACTCGCAACTCACATATGTATATCTACACACAACCACAGACGAAGTATACGAGTAGACCTTATCTACGTACGTACATAAGAAAAGCAAAAAAAATCTTTGTTTTAATAGTCACAATATGATCAAAGAGTCTTAATACTTATACTTCCGCCAAAAAAATTTGAAAATTTTTTTTCATTATGGTACTTTCATTACGAAAGTCAATGCACTCAATTATGCCAAATCTGGCCGCACTGTCACTGTGTCACTGCCTACCCCTGGTCCAGAATTATGTTATTAAGTTCGTGTATACATGCAATAGTGTAGGTTATGTTTCAAAAGTCGTGGATAATTGTGTCGACTTAAACAGTATTGTGGTTTGTTCATTTATAAAACTTCATTGCAAGAATCTTTTCACATATATTAATTATCGAATGAACAAGATAATTTTATAACCTTCATTCCGATCTTGCATACGAATAACTATATAACCTATGAACATTTATTTGCTTTCTTTAAGATGCGAAGATAATATCATACAACATTTATAAATAAGAAAAAGATGTGCATTGTTTTGCACATAATTTTACAAATTTATGTATATGAAAACACAATTTATAAGTGTTAAAAACAATAAATTATAATAACATAATTTTACGTTTACATGAATTCGATTAAAATACAATAATTGTAAATATATAAAAGAAAAAATGGCTGCAAAAAGAAAACCAGATACACAAGTACCAGCTGAAGAAAGTGATTTATTATCGATTAGGCCGCTTGGTGCAGGCCAAGAAGTAGGAAGATCATGTATTATGTTGGAATTTAAAGGAAAAAAAATTATGTTAGACTGTGGTATTCATCCTGGTTTATCCGGAATGGATGCATTACCATTTGTAGATTTAGTAGAAGCGGACGAAATTGATTTGCTATTAATTTCTCATTTTCATTTGGACCATTGCGGAGCGTTACCATGGTTTCTACAAAAGACTAGCTTTAAAGGACGATGTTTCATGACACATGCCACCAAAGCAATATATCGTTGGCTATTGTCCGATTATATAAAAGTAAGCAACATTGCAACAGAACAAATGTTGTATACAGAATCGGATTTAGAAACTAGTATGGACAAAATAGAAACAATTAATTTTCACGAAGAAAAAGATGTGTTTGGAATAAAATTTTGGGCTTATAATGCTGGACATGTATTGGGTGCTGCTATGTTTATGATAGAGATAGCAGGTGTTAAAATTTTGTATACTGGAGACTTTAGTCGGCAAGAAGATAGACATTTAATGGCTGCTGAAATTCCAAATATTCATCCGGATGTTTTAATTACTGAATCCACATATGGTACGCATATACATGAGAAAAGAGAAGATCGTGAAGGAAGATTCACAAATCTAGTTCACGAAATTGTTAATAGAGGTGGAAGATGTTTAATACCTGTATTCGCGTTAGGTAGAGCACAAGAACTTTTACTTATTTTAGATGAGTATTGGAGTCAACATCCTGAACTTCATGAAATTCCCATATATTATGCCTCTTCGTTGGCAAAGAAATGTATGGCAGTTTATCAAACTTACGTAAATGCAATGAATGATAAAATTAGAAGACAGATAGCCATTAATAATCCTTTTGTATTTAAACACATTTCGAATTTAAAAGGTATTGATCATTTTGAAGATATTGGACCATGTGTAGTAATGGCTTCTCCTGGTATGATGCAAAGTGGTTTATCAAGAGAATTATTTGAATCATGGTGTACAGATGCAAAAAATGGAGTTATAATAGCTGGTTATTGTGTAGAAGGAACATTAGCCAAGACTATTTTGTCAGAACCTGAAGAAATTACAACTATGTCTGGACAAAAATTACCATTAAAAATGTCCGTTGACTATATATCATTTTCAGCGCATACAGATTATCAACAGACATCAGAGTTTATACGTATTTTAAAACCACCGCATGTTGTGCTTGTACATGGAGAGCAAAATGAAATGGGAAGGTTAAAAGCTGCTTTACAACGCGAATATGAAGATGATCCTAGTACAACAATGGAAATACATAATCCCAGAAATACAGTTGCCGTGGAGTTATACTTCAGAGGAGAAAAAACTGCTAAAGTAATGGGTACATTAGCAATGGAAACACCGAAACCAGGACAAATATTATCTGGAGTTTTAGTCAAAAGAAATTTCAATTATCACATGCTTGCACCATGTGATTTATCAAAATATACAGATATGAGTATGAGTCAAGTTATTCAAAGGCAAAGCGTGTACTTTTCAGCATCGTTACCAGTATTAAAACACCTTCTAATACAAATTGCTGGAAGTTTAGAAGCAGTCGATGATAAAAAATTACGTGTATTTAAAAATATTGACATAACAATCGATGGAAAAATTGTAACTATGGAATGGATTGCAACACCTGTGAATGATATGTATGCAGATTCTGTTTTAACTGCAATATTACAAGCCGAAATGATGGAACAACCACCCAAAGTGTTACCAGCACCTACAAAAATGGATCGAATGCATTTCAAAGAATGCTTAATAGAAATGCTTCAAGAAATGTTTGGCGAAGACTCTGTACCTAAAATTTTTAAAGGAGAAAAATTATATGTTACTGTTGATGGAAAAAAAGCACACATAGATTTACTAAATTTAGAAGTAATTAGCAAAGAAGACGAAATTTTTCAACAAATAGTACAAACGGCAGTAACAAAATTACATCAATCACTAGCACCACCCTGTGATACAATTTAGAAAACATTATGTTTACAATAATCTATAAAATAACATTTGTTAATAAGTTTACTATTAAATACGTTACTATAAAATATTTAAATACTGAAAATCTTCCTTTTATTTACTGTACAATTTAATAGTACTATACAAATCATTTCATTTATACATTTTTATAAATACAATAGTATTATTGATATATGAAATATAAAAAATAAATTCCTATATAATATTTTTCATACAAACTCCTTAGATTTTGCATTACATAGATTAATAGATCAATGATTTCCAATTTGATTAATCAATATAGTAAAATTTGACATAATACTGATTTTGAAATTTGATCAATACTGTGAAGAAATATTTGTTCTACTTAAACTTTATAATTAAAATACGTAATTCATTATTTTAGCTCACAGTATAAAAGTGTATAATAAAAATATATTGTAAATATATACAGTTCATGTAATTACGAATAACACGATCAATTGAAAATCTATATTAAAGGACATAAATATAAAACTTATATTTGCAAGTATTACTACCATTAACGATAAAACTAAATAGATCAATGTTGAAAAGTGTATTCAGATAGATCCCCCCATGCAGGTCCAACTTTTAGTTTTACAGGTAATGGTACTGCAAGTTGACATACTTGCTCCATTGATTCTTTTACTATTGTTGCAACTTGTCGTAAATCTTTTATATTTACCTAGAGTAACATTTTTTTTTTTATATTTCATTAAATATAAAAATTCATTATTCAATGTCTTGTTTATTACCTCATACAATAGTTCATCGTGAAGTTGTAATACCAAATAACCACCTCTTTGTTGCGCTTCTCTACTATTACTTCGTAATTTACGTATAGAATAAACAGCAGGCATAATAGTTGCTGAATTTGGGAATTCAAATCGCATTTTGTCTTCGATATTTACCATTGCTTTTTTTGCAATATCTGCTGCAGAACCTTGTATTTTAGTGTTCACTGTTTGACGTTCCGCTTGTGCTGTACAATAAAGAATTTATTCGTAAATGCTTTGAAAATTTTTATCATATAAATCAGCGTTTCTCAAAATTCACTTTTCCAAGGATTCTTTCGATGAACGAAAATTTGTGGTAAATCTTTTCAAGTAAAATCAAATTTTTGATGTATGAATACTTTTTTTCTTTTGAGGGTTTTTAGAGTTCCCTTAACACGTTCGCGGACTACAGTTTAAGAAATGCTGATATAGATCATGTTATAAGTTATGAAATAAAATTGTTTCTAATTAGTAAATGATTAATATTGAACACCTTACTACCAAAAAAGAAAATTTACATTTTTCTGTTGTACTTGTGCTTGCCAATCCAGGAACCATTCTACGTCTTTCTAAGATTGTTGTTACGTATCCATTTATACGTGCTTCTTTCACCACACTGCTTAACCATATAGATATACCTGGGTATGTGTTCATAAAAGATTCTAAAAATTCTTTAGCTTTAATTTCATCTATGGACAAATTTTCGGCTAACGATTTTACTCCCATGCCGTAGATCATTCCATAGCACAATTGTTTTGTACGTTGACGCATTTGATCATCCACCTATTAGCAAAAATTTATATAAACTAAATCATTGAAATATATTTAGATCATAAACTATACTTTAGATATTTCGCATACCTGATCTTCAGATGTATGATTCCATTTTGCTGCAATGCTTTTAAAAATATCACCCGGCTTCCGCATAATATCACACAATATAGCATCTTTTGAAAAATGAGCTAATATTCTCAATTCAAGTTGACAGTAGTCTGCTGACAATATAATATTGCCTATAGCAGGTACAAACGCCATTCGAACGCTTATCATAAAACTATTATCTTCAGAATTAAAATCTTTTGGCACATTTTGTAAATTTGGTTCGTGCATTGAAACTCTACCTGTTAATGTACATGTAACACAATTACCATGAATGCGGGAACTGTGTTGGGCCAAGTTCAATATTGGGTATACAATCTATGAAACAAAAAATTATTCAATGAAGTAAAAAATTAGAAACAAAATTACGAGTTTGTAATTAGTTTTTCTCTTGATAGTTCATGTAACAAAAGAAAAACGTTAATCTTAAAACCAATAAATAAGTACTCTATTTACTTGTTTACTTACATAAACATATATAATACTTAAATAATGAAATATAAAAGTATCTAAATTCACTTTTTCATTATTTTCTTAGTTTTAAACAAGAAATAGCGTTTGTTTGTCAAACCAGATGTACAAATCTTAATATTTTATTTCAGTTTCATCATTGTGGTTGGTTGTTATTAGAATAACAAATGGAAAGAAAATAATAAAGAAATGTAATAAATTCTCATTTTAAGAAAGAGTTTTTATTTTTTTTTAAATCTTTCCTTCGATATACGTACTTTAGAGAGAGTTGCATTTAATTTACGCCATGACATAATTAAACTAGATATTGGATGATCAGATTGTCCTAATACAACTTTGTTAATGCTAACTTTTTTCCCTTTGTATAAACCTAAAATCTGTACCATTGAAAATTTAACAATTAGATTAAAATACTTGCACTAATAAACATGTATTTTAAAAATCAATTTACAAACCTCGCCAACTTCTTTAGATGAAGAGAAATTGAATTTTTTTCCAGACAATTCAAATGCTCGTTCTTGCAATGATATCATCTCTTTGTGAATAGCAGAAGACAAATCTTGTAACGACTTTAAAGACACACCAAAACCAGTTAATTCCATACGCGCTAGTAAGGTCACTATTTCCATCTCAATGTCTAACAAGTGATTTAAGATTTAAATGAAATGGATAAATATATAGAAGTAATACATTGAAATTAAATATTAATAAAGGCAATATATGTATAATAATGTAATTACCTTTAAATGTATATAGTAATGTTGGACTTAATTGTTCTAATCTTTCTAAAAGAGTGTCTGTCATGTACCATGTAAGTACAGCTTCTGCAGATGCTCTGAATTCTCCTGGTATTGTGCTTTTGATGTTTAATCCAGGTCCTGTATCATAACATGCACCTATCCGTTTTGTTATGAAGCATCCTTGTGGAAAATATTCTTTAACCTATTTACACATTAGATATTAATAATATTTACAATACGATACAATACTATGCAAGTTTAATTACGCTGTAAATAATATTAAACATTATACGCATTCATTACCATTTCATTAAACGTTTTTTCATAAACTGTACCATCATGTAACCAGGTTGCTATTTTCGGATCCAAAAATTTGCAACTCGCAGATATATCACAGCATTCATACAAAGTTTTAAATGTTTTTTTAGTTGCAAAACATTTTACATTTAAATGTTCTTTTTTAAGTAATTCATTTAATAGCTTCATTTGCTCTTTGCTTGGAACTTTTATATCTGGAGGAATATTATTTTAGTAATCTTCAAAAAATTAAAATTTACATTAACATAAATTTTAATACCTTGCTCATTAGAGAAAGAAATATAATATGCAATATTGCTTTCCCAAGAAATAGCCACACCACACAACTTTTTATCTGCATAAATATAATTGTCTACTTTTTTAGATCTCTTCCTTTCGGTATTGGTGGAACTAATAATTCTAGAACCTATACTATTTGTATCATTGTTATACATTTCGCAATTTAAAGCTAGAGCAATATATTGTTTTTGCATTACTTCGCGTTTAAATAAATTAAATGTTCCTCTATCACTTCCGACTTTTATAATATTTAACGTATTCCAATTCACTGTTTCGTTTATCTTGTTAATCTTCTTAGTTTGCAAGCATGTTTCTGGAATTTTTTGTTTCTTTTTTACGGTATGTTTTGATTTTTGTAAAATCTTTGGAGATTTTATAAGAGTATCTTCGTCTGAATTTGAAATTATACTATCTGTACTACAATTTTTACTTTTTATTTTTGTTGCAAGTATTTCCTTTATTTTAGGCTTAATTTTACATTTTTCAATTTGTATCGTGTTTGAAACAGAACTTGTAAATTTTGTAACATTATTTGATACATAATTGACAACTTTTTGAGTGCATATTTTTTGTTTTCTTCCAGAATCTAACTTTGCTTGTGACATAATACCCGTAGCAGGTGAATTTATATTTTGTGAAGCAATAATAATATCATCTGAATCCGACTTGTTCGAATCTAATGATGTTGTACGATTATGGTTAAAAACAATTATATTTGCCACAGGTGATTTTTCAGTTGACATATCTTTAAATCTACGTTTATACAATACTTTTTTGAAACCGTCAGGAATATCCGTAGATTTTTCAAACTTTATATCATATCGTTTTTTCATGTCTGGTGTATTATGACTAGTGTCAGCAGTTTCCACAATATGCTGTATATTTGCATTTTTTACATGTTTGATATTACGCTTGGTAAATATCTCGTTATTTTTATCACTAATTTGATTCAACTTTTCTGTTAAATTAATTGGTACGTTCCAAGAATCATCTTCCCAAAACAGTGTACTGTGTTTTGCTTGTAAATTTGTAAAATCCATAGAACTTTTATTTATATGTTTATCTTTCAAAGCTTTCTCTGTTTGTGTTTCATTATTATCACTTTGATTGGTTTGTAACCTCGGTATTTCTTTACTTTCCATTGTCAATTTGTGTTCAGACAATTTAGTCTCCTCAAATTCTGAAAAATCTAAGGAATCAATAATATTTTGCTCGAGAACATTACAGATTTGTGTGTCAAGATTTAAACTATCATCAAATAAACTGGGACTTTTTGAAACTCTTAGTTCTACATCTTTCCCAAAACTAGATGTTCGTATAATCCCATTTGCACAGGCTGATATTCCAGTATCTATTCCATTTGAGGTTCTCATCTTTTTAATCAATATATTATTTGTGTTTTCAGAATTTTGTATGTCGTCTACTGGATGTTTAAAAGTAAAATTTTGAGTTCGATTTTTCTTATCTTTGAAACTAATCAATGATTCACTGTCTCTTTTTTTTAGCGAATCATCCATCATCCTGAAACTACTGTCTTCAAAGAAATCAAGAGACAGTTTTTCGGTCGAAGTATCTAAAATTTTTGGAACATCTATTTGCAATAACTGGTCAGTAACTTTTATATCATCATTCTTATTTTCTTTAGTTAGATCCTTTTCTAGATTATACTCTGAAACTATAACATTTATATTAACGTCACATTTTTCATTTTCCAAATAACATTTAGAATTTTTAACATTTTCCACAGTTAAATTATTGTTACGTATTTTGTTTTTCAGATTACATTCAAAATCTTTATCATTTTCTGCGGCATATGTATTAACTTTACATTTTTCGTTCTTATACGACTTGTTACTTAATAAATCTTTTTCTTGATCAACGGAAGTAATAGTTTGGGTATTTATTGCACACGAGCTCTGTGAATGTTTATCTCGGAATACATTATTGTCTGCATGAACTTCAATTTGTGCGTTGTTATACGTAGAAATTTTAATGGTTGGTTGTGCATTTGTACATTCTGTACTTTGAAATGTATCTTGTTGTATTTGCAAACTTGTTTCAATACGAGATTCATTTGTAACAGATTTTTGTTTCCAGGACATATCCTGCAACTTCAATTCATTCTGTAATTAAGTAACAAAATTATTTAGCTTTAAAATAATTCAAAAGTAACTATTTTTAGAAATAATAATCATATACCTGAACTAATACTCTAGCTTCATGTACTAACATAATTGCAGCTTCATGAGGCGTTAAACCATCCTTTCCAGTAACAAATACTGTCCTCATTTTATTTCGTTTTATTGCTTCTGATTCGTGTTCACCATCTTGTTCTTTTTCACTAAAATATAATTTTAATAACATAAAACTTTAAAAACTACTGTTAGTAATAAGATATTTTCATAAGTATTATAAATATAATTCATAATATAATTTATTGTAAAAACATAAACAGTTATTACAGAAAACAAGGAATTCGCGTACACAGTTAACATAAAAGAACACAGTAAAATATAACTTTACAAATGTAACGACATTTGCATTTTTCGGACCACAATTTAGAACTAAACACACAAAAAAAGAAACTTTCGTTTACGTGTTAAGGTCTCTTTTATATACTAATATTATAATAAAGATCATAAACAACCTTTGACTATCACTCATCGATGTCTAATACGCCTAACATCAGCTTTGCACTCAAAGTAACTTATTTTAACATTAAGTATACCTTTCAAATGGAAGTGCTTTATAAAGTGCACGTTCAACATCAAGTTCATTAGCAATGGCTAAATCTGCTACACATGTGATTCCTTGTTTATAAAGACTTCTAGCACGCAATCCATTTAACATTGGAAGACGTAATAAATCCAATAATTCTCTGCATACACCAAATTGTAACCTCGTTTGAAATTGGGAAACTAATAATTCCATACAGTCCCAGCCCAGTTGCTTACAAAATTGTGTGACCATCCCTATGTATAAAATTAAGATAGCGTAATCTGTACTATATAAAAAGTATGAATATAGAAAATATTACCAGCAAATACAGAAGCAGATTGTTGTAAGCTTTGTAAGACTCCACGGCAACAGCCATATTTTGTACAAACTGTGTTAAGAGGAACTTCGCGTACCAAATCGTGCAAAGCCAGTGCAGTATAAAATCTCTTATGTATGTTAAGCTGAAAGTAAAATATTGAAATTCGTCAATTCGTATAATTCCAAAATAATTAAATTATATGCGGAATGATTGTGGTCACTAAAACCAACTGTAGCTCTTTTCTAAGTATAGATACAAAAAACTGATACAAAAAAAATGAATTTGGAAGAATTTGGAATCCCGCAATGGGGATCAATTTTTGATAATGTAATTTCTCGTTTCAATCAGTTCTCCTTATCAAATGCAAATGTATTCTGCACTTGTACCGTTGCACACAAAACATTACATCATCAAAAAATAGTACTCAATGCGAAATTCAAACTTTTTCTGTATTTTTACTTAGAAAAGAGCTTACAGTTTGTCCTAGTGTTTAGAATCATCCTGTATGTTATTTATAAAATAATTTACTGATTTTCCCGGTCGTACGATGCCCTTAATAGCCGAAGTTAAAAATCGTTCTTCAACACCAACGAGTTCACCAACTCTACGTTCACTTTCTGAAAGCATTTTCCATAGTTCCAAAAAGGTCATCCAATCGATGTTTCCAATTTGATTTCCACAACTGAGAGGTGTTACTAAATATATTACGTGTAATTCTGTATCCAATACAAAGCATCGCCTTGCTTTTTGAAGTTCTTCAAGTAAAAATAAACCATCTCTAGGTGGTATAGAAGCCGCTAAACATGCTTTTCCAAAAGCTGTAGCTACCCATCTGTGCCCATCATCTGTTTGTTGTAATCTACATAATATTATGATATATGAAATATAACATAATTAACTAATATGAAAATACATAAATCATGTCTACTAATAAACATACAATAAGAATTCATTGTTTACTAAAAACTTAATTGCTTCTTTTGAAGAGTTTTTTGGATTAAGTTCGTCGCTCAAATTTATTAACATACATTTAGTGTACAATTCGAGATCTGATGCTGTATGCACAACTTCACTAGCTATAGCTTCCAAAAAAGCTCGAATTAAAGGTCCCGAGTTTTCAAGACAAGAAACAATAGGTTCCAATGTGGCTGATAATAACGATTCGGCTGCTTTTCTTTCATTCGATTTACATACAAGTATACTTTCGCCTATAGAAATAAATCACTTATATTTCGAATGTACAGAACAAAATTTTGTTTGTTTTCTTATTTATATCTCACCTGCTGTATCTTTCCCCATTCTACCTGCACGTCCTATCATTTGTTTATAAGTAAGATTGTCCAATAATCTACCAGCGAACATTGGAGATCTTACAATTACCCTTCTTGCTGGTAAATTTACTCCACTGCTTAAAGTTGATGTTGCAATAAGGACTCTCAAAGATCCCGATCTGAAAGAATTAACATTTAATACACATTTAATACACATTTAATTTCTACATGGTAAATACATTTCATAGAATACTATAAATATCACACTATTAAGATCTTTTTGTCTGGACTGTTGTTAAATTGAAATTGTATAAAAAAGCATCGTGAAAGCTTTTTGAGTAGTAGTATTTGAAATGAGTAAATAAAATACCTAAAAGATCCTTCTATAATATCACGTTCATCCATCGTAAGACCAGCGTGATGAAAAGCAATTCCAAACGAAACTGTGTTTTTTAGCACTTTATCTAAACCTATAGAACTACGTTTTAATTGCTCCAATGTTTCGGAGATTAATGTAGAATTTAATTGTTGTCTTAAAGTTTCACCAAGTTGTGTATTTTTCTGACCTAAAAAGCATAATACATATACATATATCTAATTTCAAATTTTTAAATATAAACTTTTTTAGTTGTATCATCATCAACTACATTAAAAATATAAATTTTGTATTTTTGAACAGACCTAGTTTGGAAAATGCAGTTGCTATTTGTTCAGCTAACTTTTCACACCAATTTTTTGTTGGACAAAAAATCAGCACACTGTGTCCATCAGATACTGTTTCGATGCACAAGTGAAGAATATCATCCGAATCCATGGTTAATTCTGCCATTGGTGTTAAACTTCTGATAAGATGTAATTTATTGTCATAAATATTCTTACCAATCTAAAAACAAAGAACACTTATTTATTAATTTTGAGTCGCATAATAGTTACATCATTATACAATGTAGATCCATACTTTGCACTGTTCGTTTAAAGGTACTGGTCTAAATTCTGTTTTATATAATTCTGCATCCAACCATTCTGCTAACATGGATAAATTTGGAAGTGTTGCAGACATGCCAATCAGTTGTATATTAACATTTTCACTTCTATAACAAGTTATAATTGGTAACGTAAATATAACATAATACATTTATTAAATTAGTAACAATTTCATTAGTATAATAGTAAATTAAAAAGTATTAATAAATGTGTATTAATTACCTAAGGGTCATATACTTTAATTTTGTTAGAAGTAATTCAAGAAGATATCCTCGATTAGAATCACCAACAAGATGTAATTCATCGATCACTACAGCCCCTAAATTGATTAACTCATTTTCTTCCATTAAACGATTTATTAAGGAATTTGCTTTTTCAATCGTTGCTATTGCGACGTGAGTAGCTGTAAACCCTCCAGGTGGGGCAATACCACCCATAAATCCCTCAACTCTAATACCACTGTCAGATAACAAATCCTACCAAATTATATTGACAAAATTAAAGTGCTTAAAATTTCCTAAATTCAAATATGAATAATTATAAATAAAAATCATACTTGAAAATAATACATTTTTTCTCTGACAACAGAGACAAATGGCAGAATAAATATCACTTTTTTGTGTGTTTCTAATACTGTTTTTATCATAAGAATTTCTGCCACTAATGTTTTTCCTGCTGACGTTGGAGCTGAATACACAAGATTACGTTTCTCTTCAAGTACTTTATGATTCGATAAACATTCGACTTGCCAAGCAAACATATCTTTTATTCCTCGTAATTCATATTTCTGTAAGGATGTAATTATCATTATGTATGGTAATAAGTAGTGGAAATTAGAAAAAATATCATATAATGAATATAAAAAAGAAAAAAAAGAAATATTATTTATACTTTTAAAATTTATCTAGCTTTTTTTAAAACAAAGATATAATCCAACAATATATATTACCTGAAGAATATTTGGTGGTAAACCCCAAGAAGCCAATTTGTGTCGCTCTTGAGTACAGATAGTAAGGATAGAAGGATTCATTTCTGATGATTTCTCTGCTTTGCTTTTTGTTACATTACTGTTAAACGATTTTATATTGATTGTACTTGGTGAAACATCATTTCTTGTGCAACTAATATTGACATCTTTTTCTCTTATTTTACACAAACCATGCTTCTTCTTTAAAGAAGTAATGCTTCCAAGTTCTAACTTGCTTGGTGTATTGGTTTCATTATTTATACTTCTTTTTGTGTTGGAATCTTCCGTAAGTTCTTTGAATTCTGAATTATTCTGATTTAAACTAGTTTCTGTGCCCATGAAGGCACGCAATATATTGTTTTGTTTTGATTGATTTATTCCAACAACTTCATTCGACTTATTCGTTACTTTGCAAGAAAACACATTATCCACAAAATACTTTTCCATATCACCGTCATTATAAAGAACATGCGTATTTTTAACTTCAGCCTCAATACAGGCATGTAAAGTATCATCCCCGAAGGGTGTTATTTTATTAAAAGATTGCATTTTGATAGATTTATTTCATTTGTATAAGATCATGATTTAAAAATATTAAAGACAAAGCTTAAAAGAATGATATAATTTCATTACATTAATTTTTTAAATTACTTATGCATGATTATAAAATAGAGTAAATCTAATATAAATATAATTAAATAATACACACTAAAATTCATTACTTTAATATTACATAAATAATTGTCTAAGTAAAAATTTTATTTATGTAGAAAATTATTCATGATTCAATATTTGTGTTAGCATCTCAAAAGCTCCATTTTTCCTTGATTAATTAACTGCTCCACAGTAAATAATTCATTATTATGTAAATAAAAACAAGTAAACAAATGGGCATTCATTTTCATAGTACTTTCTCCACTGTTTAAGCTTTTAGTTTCCACTTAAAATTAAAACAACGTTAGGTACGGCTTGCCAACAATAATTCGAATTTCAGATATCAGCTGTATCGAGAGCGACTGAGAGAGAAGAAAAGGCTTGCATTCGCCTTCTTGCTCTATTCCCCGAAGTTATACGAAGTATCGAGCTTACGTATCGTATGCAACCATAATATGTGCTACTTTCCCCACTACTCTGCAAGGAGCTATAACAAATTCATCGTCGTTCGTCTTGTTTTTGATAAACTCCATTATGCCCGATCTGGCCACACTGTATACAACGAAACTCTTTCTCTTATCGACCATTCCTAAAGATGGCTCCGGTGAGTTGTTTGATCGCAAGAAAAACGAAAATAATTCGAAAATATGTAAAATCTTTCAAAAATACAACGTATGCATGAAATGTCGTGTCGTTATGATTAATAGTAATATAATTGCGTTTGTATTTTTCAAACGATTACATGGATTTCAGTGGATGTAAAATAGTCGTTGTAAACATCACGTGTATCTGCGACAAACAAGACAATTTTCTGACTAAAAGGTATTCAAAATGATAAATTGTATGGTTTTAGACCGTCGCAAAGAAGCCCAAAGGGCCGACTATGAAGAAACAGGCTTTGCGAGGTAAAGGACAGAAGAAGAAGGTATCCCTTAAGTTCACTATTGACTGTACACATCCTGCTGAGGACAATATTATGGACGTAGCAAATTTTGTAAGTTTTCTTCAATGTTTGTATATTTTGCCTAATTACATCCTACATCCTTAAGTCGATTTATCTTGGGTTGTTTCATGTTTTTGTAACCTAAGTTTCATTGTACACATAAATTTTTAGTCTGATCTAAATTCATGCCTGTCGAAGCATAACATATAGTAACTCATTTTAAAAGTGTTCACAATACTAAGTAACATTTTCATCTTTGTAGGAAAAATACCTGCACGAAAGGATCAAAGTTTCAGGTAAAACAAACAACTTTGGTAACAGTGTTACATTGGAACGTGATAAGATGAAGCTCTCTGTCAATAGTGACATCGACTTCTCTAAGCGGTGGGTATTGTCCAGTACAGTTGTGTTACAAAAATTAAAATGAAAAACTATTTTTGCACATAAATAATTCTGAGTTGACATTATTCTCAACAATATTACCGATATTTGCACTAATTTAATAACGTGTTCACATAGGTACCTCAAATATTTAACGAAAAAGTATCTGAAGAAGAATAAATTGCGCGACTGGCTGCGAGTAGTTTCAAAAGACAAAGAAACGTACGAACTTAGGTACTTCCAGATTAACAGCCAAGAAGATGATGACGAAGAAGACGCAGAATAAAATTTCTCTTTATTCTACACACAATTACAGAGGCATCTGTACATATTTCTATTAATAAATAACTGTCTGACATGAATTTTACCTTTAGTTCTCGAAAACTACGAGTTTTTATAAAAATCCAGAATTTTCGACAAAAACAAAGTAAAAATATTGGGAGTTTTCCGAATATACTAGTGTACAATATATTAATTGTTTTTGGTCCTAAATAGTTATAAATTAATGTCAAAGTTTAAAAAAATGCAGATATGTGTAGTTTCTCCATATAATTTTTGTATTATCACAAAAAATTTATGTATCTAACATGAAAACTACTTTCACCTTAGAAAGAAGATAGACGATAGAAGAATCTACAGAAAGATAAAAATGTATGACATCTATTCTCAATTAATAGCATCAATTTCTGCTGTTTTGTTAAAAACAAAGCTTTTCTCAAACTCCCCAAAAAAATGGATAGCTATATGCAAGAATCTTTTGCAATTATCTTCAGAATTTTCAAATACTAATGACCAGCATTGTATCTGCAGGTCTATGTAATCGTCCAGCTTGGGAAACTAGTATTCATTATGGAACCAAAAAATTCGAAAATTTATTTAACCTTCGTAGGACCATGGTTAAAAACCAATGTTAACGATTGCGTGGGGTATAACAATACTCTAACTCTATTTTTATTCTAATTGTTACTAAACATACATATACATGTAAATTATAAACAATTTTTTAAACAGTTATAATGTTCGAATACCATGTCGCGTACTGTGCCAATACTTAAGTCCATTACTGTACGTCATGGTACATCACCTAATGCGTAGTAATAAAAAACACGTAAGTCAGTCATTATCATCGTCAGAATCGTATCTATTCGATGCTCCATTAGGTCCCCGACAATTCAAATAACCCAATCTTGTTTATTATTATCGGATTAATTGAACCGTATCTATTTTTGATTTCACAAAACTAAAGAAATGTAATATGTAATTACAACTTAAGAACCCGAAAGAAAGAGATACATGTATGCACAATATACCAAGTATTAGTACAATTTATAAAGAAATTATATATTTTTTTGAAAGTATAATATTCGTGTACGAAGTTTATTTAACAGTTCAATATTGCACGTTTTCGTCATTCTATAAAATAATATTAAAGGAACGTATAAACCGTGGGCACAGTGCTCGTAGAGACGGGCCTGTTTTATCTATCAAACGCATCAGTAAACCATTCTTCCCTCATCAAGCAGACAATGCGATAACACTTGGTACTACCACATTTTTGTAGCTCCAATATATTGTTCGAGAATATCATTACGATCTCAACGTTCAATTCTCTCCCTGTTTCGCGAAGAAAATTGGACTACTTCGCGGTGGCGCAGAGAGTGTGACCGTATTGCGTTGCGCAGACGACTGACGCACGGTGATTGTTGTGACAGAAGTGTAGAAGAGTATCGTATCGTCGTCTTTCCAATTCGGAATCAGCAAAATCCGTGCAAATCGATAGAAAAAAGCAATCGCCAAGAACAGAAAAGGGGAGCAACTCCGTTGAATTGTGTTGCTCGTGCGATAGCGCGAGAACAATGAAATTTCTGTACAAGGAGGAACATCCGTTTGAAAAGAGGAAAGCCGAGGGTGAAAAGATACGACGAAAATATCCCGATAGGGTTCCTGTAAGTAGCTCGTTCGGAAAATGATCGTTCTATCGATCGACGAAATTTTTTTTTCTCGACGTGAACAATTGTTAAGGGGAATAACTGATTCGTTAGGGACAATTCCGTTTGGCTAGCATTATCAAATGAGTTTAATTCGTAGCGAGTCGAGTCGATCGTGTGCCTAGGATTTCCTGGGCTGGAATGGGCCAAGGTCGGCTTTTTGCGCCGTATTTCGCTTGTATTTCGTATGGTATAAACTTTTCCTTTTTAATCGACGGGCCAATGATTAAATTGAACGATCGTGTCGAATTCCTTTGTACGTTTACCTATTACCCAAGTTTATTGATCCTGCTACGCCCATGGCTATATAATTCCCCGATTGATAAAACGTAACCACAGAACAAATATTCTCTCTTTTTGATTCGCTCGAATACGATTCCATTACGCGTTTCGATTCACTTTGTGAATTTCGTTATATTGTACGGAACGAAGCGCTCGAAAATGTAGATCAGCTGTTACTTCAGGGTCTTGGATAAGTGTCAAACGTACAGAATATTAAACACGGATTTGAAACTAGTTTGTGATCGTGAACTTGAGCCAAGATTTATGTACTTTATGCTTTGAACAGTGATGGAGGAAATTTAGATCGAACGATTTATTAATTTGATGTTTCCTATCTTATTGTAAAAACATTCGTATTTAGATAATTATAAATTCAGCGAAGTTTAATAATACGTGTTCATTAAGGACTCTTACTTTTGTCACAGGTAATTGTTGAAAAAGCACCGAAAGCTAAAGTTAGTGATTTGGACAAACAAAAATATTTAGTACCATCTGATTTAACTGTTGGACAATTTTACTTTTTAATCCGCAAACGAATTCATCTTCGTTCTGAAGATGCTCTGTTTTTTTTTATTAACAATATCATTCCCCCAACAAGCGCCACTATGGGTTCTGTCTATGCGGTAATTATATAATATGTAACTCTAAATGTGTACAAAGTATACAAAGATAGTTATATTTGTTGTAATAATTATTTTTTCAGGAACATCACGAAGAAGACTTCTTTATGTACATAGCGTACAGTGATGAGAACGTGTATGGACACTAAATTACAATAAAGAAGATAACATTACAACAAAAGAGCAGACAACAAAAATTTGCCACCTATAATGTAGTCCTTTTAGAAGCTTTTGGAAATGTTAACAAAATTATATCTTTCAATCTTTTGAGTGAAACTTCAAATCCTAGCACTGCACACAAAACTAAATTTTGCTTCCTTCAGATAAATTAGATATGTTCGTCTGCCAATTATATAAATGTTTTACTTTTTTATTCCATTGCTCGTTGCTAGCTTGAGGAAGTTATGGGTAATAGGGTATAAGAAGGACTAATCAGAGCCGAGTTACACGATCATGCATCAATAGTTAGTCTGACACTCAAAAATTGGAAAACAATTCTGTATCTTGTGAAGAGTGACTAACTTCACCATTGCTACGATTATTATTTACGTGCATTAACGATCGTTTGAAAATAATTATTCCTCAAAATTAATAAATTCATGATACTATGCAGATGTTTTATGTGATATCATTTTCTTTTATTTAGAGTAGTGTTATTTTATGTACACAATTCGATGTTATTTAATGACAAAGAAATGGAAATAAATTGTTAAATATGTATTGAGGTAAAAAATTGTTTGTAACGGCTGGATGTGGGCCAATAAAAAAATATAAAAATAAATTGCGAGGAAGTGTACATTTTCCATTTTCTAAATTGTTCGCTTTCACGATCTTGTGAAACTACAATTTCCCTATAGCGATAGAAAACTGTTAGAACTCCATGCCATACATAATTAATATGTTTTGACCGTGGTCTATCCATTTTTAACATGTTTTTGTCAAGAACAGTACTTTCTCTAGCTATAATCTAGTTAATGCTTGTGCTTTGGTGAAGAAAGTTTCCATTTAATATGGAAATAGAAACTAATAACACAAATGTTACAAATAGTTCAGCTGATAATACATACACTGCTTCTGCATATAATCTTAATCAAGAGGACAGTAACTGGATTGTGACAAATTCGTTTATAATTTTTACTATGCAAACTGGTAAAATTCTTTATTATGTAGTTCAGAAAAATAACAGTAAATTTCATTTTTCGGTTTACTTAGGTTTTGGTATGTTAGAATCTGGATGCGTGTCTTTAAAAAATGAAGTAAATATTATGATGAAAAACGTAGTAGACATAGTTCTTGGTGGATTGACTTATTGGGCATTTGGTTTTGCACTAAGTTTTGGAACAGACAGGTTGCAGAATCCTGTTATTGGTATGGGCGACTTTTTAATGGATCCTTTCGTATATGATAAACTTATGGGTCCAAAATGTGCTGCATTTTTATTTCAATTAAGCTTTGCAACTACCTCAACAACTATTGTTAGTGGTGCTATGGCTGAACGGTAATTATGCAAAGTAAAGGAATAATTTGATTTATATCACTTTGATATTAATGTAATTACAGGTGTAATTTCAAAGCATATTGCTTATTTTCATTCTTAAACACAATTGTGTATTGCATACCAGCTGGTTGGATATGGGGCGATCATGGCTTTTTAAAAAATATAGGCGCTGTTGACATTGCTGGTTCAGGAGTAGTACATCTTGTTGGAGGTAGTTCTGGTAAATGTCTTTCCTTCGTTTTGTGCTACAATTTGTAAACAAATGCTTTAAATATCATTTTTATTATAGCACTTGCGTGTGCCATTATGTTGGGACCACGGCTGGGCAGATACGATAATGGAATTGATCCGTTACCTCTGGGGAATCCTGTCAATGCTATTATGGGCTTATTTGTGCTTTGGTAAAATAAATAACTAAAAATTGATAATTTACAAACTAAAATTTATGTAGTATACTAATAAATAATGATACAAGGTGGGGCTGGTTAGCATTTAACAGTGGAAGTACGTATGGTGTTAGTGGACAACGATGGCAGTATGCCGCAAGAGCAGCAGTTTCTACTATGTTAGCAAGTATGGGTGGTGGTTTAATTGGATTAGGTTTCAGTTTAACTAATCCAAATGGAATTGATATTCTTAGTCAGATAAATGGTATTCTAGGTGCTCTAGTTGCAGTTACAGGTAAGTTACGCAACAATTACAATTTACATATATTAATAAACATTCATTGTTATAATGTTACTTTTGCAATGTCAGTTAGGTGGTTGTTTCCTTTTTAGGGCCTGGGAAGCTATAATTGTTGGAATGATCGGTGCTTATATTACATGTTTTGTAATGCCCTTGTTAGATAAAATGCATATTGACGATCCCGTTGGTGCCAGTGCAACGCACGGTTAACTTTTATTCGACTTTATCATTTTAATCTTTGTTCGATTTTCTTTCTGACAACATTTTTTTTATACAGGAGCAAGTGGAATTTGGGGCATCATTGCTATTGGTTTATTTGCAGATAATCCACACCCTCTTGATACAACTAATGGAAGAAAAGGGTTATTTAAGGGTATGCTGCAATTAAGTTATATTTTTGAACAAATAAATATTACAAAAAATGTCTGTTTTTACAGGTGGGGGATGGTATTTATTTGGTGTACAATGTTTAACTGTTTTATGCTTAGCAGTTTGGAGTTTTTTTACATCTATTACTTTATTATGGGTAACTTGTATTATATATTATTAAATATGTACAATACAGCATCTTTTTCCATTGAACTTAGAATTCAATTAGTATTTTACTTTCCCTTTAGATCATAAACAAAGTTATACCGATTAGAATGAGTATTCACGATGAACTGTTTGGTGCAGACTTAGTAGAACATCGGATACGACACATGCAGGTTTATACTTACACTAAACTGTTAATTATACATATTTCAAGAACTTATACATTAAAAAATTCATTATTTACACTTTTAGATAGGTGTAAGTAGAGCTATGTCTGCTCTTCATCCAGTTCCTCAAGAACACAAATTAAAAACTGTACATCCAGTTGGAATAAATCCTGGTAAGAAACAATAAATGAGGAACTTTTGTGAAAGCTCAATTAATTATGTAAATTGATTTGTAAATAGGTCACGATTCCTATATCGAAAAATATAATCGTAAAAATCGCATGAAATTTGGAAGACGATTATCATTCAGAAAAAGGTCGTCGAAAACTCCTCAAGCTAATACGATTACAAACGCAGTATTAACCGGACAAAGTAAACCGAATTTCGTTTGGATGGACTGATATTTTCAAATGTTTTTTAACAATTTATTGAATGTAAATTTATTAGAAACGTATAAATGTATTCGCATACACATTCTAATGCTTTCACACATTACTGTAACACATACAATGCACACATTCTTTGATTAATAATTAAAATTTTACGCAATATATATATATATATATATTTTAAGATTTAAATGTTTTATATTACATACAGTAGTTGAACTTAATTCTGATCATGGTACAAAAGATGCATGGCTAGCTCCAGCAGTTAATTTTTTATCCTGAAAAATTAAAGGTTCTATTGCACATTGAGTTACCTAATTTGGAAAATAGCTGCTACAGGTTTACTTTTTTTATGATGGTTCAAAAGCTTATTCCTTAGCTTATTATCAGATTTATTCTTTATGTAGAAACGATCTCTTTGTAATCTATAAATACGTGTTCAAACAATACAGAAATTTTATCTTTTAAACAATATTTACGCATTAAGTGATATCTTTTAATAAGATTTAATAGATTTTTTTGTCCATTATCATTTCTTTCTTCAATTAGTCTTTCACAGACAACTTTATTTCTTAACTTTACTCCTTCCCAACAAGAATTTTCAGAGAATATGTCAGAGAAAAATTGTAGTCTTTCCTCATAAAAATCCTCAATTAATTAAATATAGACCCTTAACTATCTTTTTATTCTGGAATATTTTCTTGCTTCGATTTGATTATTGTCATCTTTAATAGCGCTTTTTAATATATCAAATAGTTTATTGTAATTATGATCTAAACCAGATTCTATATCCATAACTCATTGATCTCTATATTTTCGTTATACAAACATAAAAGATGTCGATAGTCACAACGTAGCGACAATATATTTGAAAGTCATTCAATGAATGGTACAAAAGAAGTTGTTATTTATAATATATTTGAAAATCATTGAAATCAGACAGGGGGTAGGTAATCGAAAACTTGGCCTAAAAGACTTTTTGTTCGCAAATGATGATACAAAATGGGTTAGTTTAATGTATGTATGTATATATATATATATATATATATATATATATATAATTACGGACACCAGTATATAACCTGTTGGAAGATCACAGACACAGTAAATACATGTAATTTGATATTTATATCTCAAGTAACGTCTAACAGCATGGTACATATAAAGATATTATATTTATTATAGTTCAGTTTTGAATAAAATATTTTTATGAAAAGTTACTTATCCTTTTTTATTCATTAAGGAGGTAATATCGGACGTTTTCTCATGCTGTCAGTAGCAAGAATAAATCTCTGAAGACGGTATTGATAATCAAGCACAAAATAACAGATTCGTCTATCTTATTTGTGATTCTCAAACATTAAATCTATTTACATATTCATGACAACTCCGTACAGTAAATGCAAATGATGAATTTACTTTTCAAAACATGTTATGTAAGGTATAGTAACTTTTAAAAAAATACTTGACATTCCTCCAACGTTAAGTCAATCTGTGTAGTTTTTAGTTATGTAAGCAGAGACCTATGTCAGTAAATATCGGTTGTACTGTTACAGTCCTTACAGAAACCGAAATATCGAAGTACTGGGATTTAATCTATATTTTTTTAGCATAAAACTTTTTTAATTAATAATATAAAACCGATAAATATTATTTTCGATAAACCTTACGTTTATGGGAGGCAGCTCCGATGACCTTGACCTTGGTAACATATGTCAAGGTCAGCCTCCTGAGTAATATCCAAGAGGTTTTAGCCGTCGCTCATTTTTTATTAAAAAGTTATTAGCATATAAAAATCATAAATATTTATTATATTATATAACATAATTATTGAAATAAAACGATTATATTAAATTATATTTTATTAAAAATGGGTTAGGTCTGGGTTAGTGTAGTTTTTAGGGGGGGTCTTTTAATTTAATATGATACTATACTACTCGTGGGGAATGTTTTATTTTATGCTCTGCAGGTCTCGTGGAACGAAATTCCATATTCTTGTTTTTTGTTTCTGGTAATTTTTATATATCAATAATTTTGTAATAAAAAACGAGAGGTAGTTATAACTTTTTAGGAAATGCTCAAGAGTGTGACCTTCATAAACTGTGTGAACATCAAGATCACATTGAGTATAGGTATACGCAGACTAGTGTAATACTAATAATACATTTTTATTAATAATTTTTTAATAAAAAACGAGCGACGGCTAAAACCTTCCGAGGGTCATTTGGGGGGGTATGACCTTGACAACATATGTCAAGGTCAAGGTCATCGCAGCTGCCTCCCCTAAACATAAGGTTTACCTTATTTTCTTATCATGCATGTGTTTTTAGTTTCTAATACAGAAACTGATATGGTACCGAAATCACATTAATGTTGAAAATAAAATAATTAACAGTACGTTATATTAGTGCACTAAGTATCGTAGTACATTGTATGGTTTAGTGTGAAAAACTCTAATGTTCGGAAATGGGACATGACGATTTAACGACAATCCGATGATTAAGCTTGCGTGCTACAGAAAAAGATTTTTGTAAATACTGAATAATTACTGAATTATTGGTACTTTTAGCTTTAATTATACTAGAATAAACTATAGTATTAATTGTATTTAATATATTAGTATTCGATTCATATTTCTATTTGTACAATAGAGATATTGAAATAATACCGGTATTAAGTCTTTGGTTACGCTTATTGTAGGCAAGGTCTTATACCGGTATTTTTCGATTATACCTTTATAACCCTTATAGAAATCGAAATACAGAAATACCGATATATTTTCCTATATTTACCGGTAATGTTTTCGATTTCTCTATTTTATTATAATCTCAAGATTTGTTTTAAACAGAGACCTAAAACCGATACTATTTCCTTACCGTAATTATGTTACTAGTCTCTACAGATGTGGTACCGAAATTGTCGTACTAATACCAAAACCAAAATAATTACCAACTTTAGAATGAGATAGCAAACTTAGTACTAAAGAGGATGTGAAATATAAACAAACGAAGATTGATCCTTGAGTTCGGTGATAAAAGTGTGAATACTCAGATTGACAATTTCTACAATTGAAATACCGAAATAATATCGGTATTTGTTTCGGTTTTTGGTAATATATCGGTTTCGGTATAACTTTACTGACATAACATTGGTATTAAGTCCCTGTATGTAAGAACACATGCCTACAAAATGAACATGCACAATGAAACATTTGTACAAAATGCAGTATAGGAAACAAAATTCCGTGTTTCTAATAAATACTTGTAACGAATAGGTTTTCAATATGAAATAAAAAACGTTTTAATACGTTCTAATATTAATCCTTTCCATAAAAGTTTATGGAAAATATGAATCTGAAACTTGCTAGCAAAATATTTTGTTAGTTAAAATAATAAATGAATGGTGCATTATAAATGCAAATTTTCATAGCATTCGCAGTTTCATATATGAGCTGTCGCTATTATATGCTGCTCAAAGACCACTGAGACACTTCTGTTGGCAGTCCAGGGTAATTTTTCACAGCTTCCATGACTTGTTGCGGCGTAAGTAAAAATTTATAATACTGATATTCTTTTTCCACTTTTGAATTAATACCGCTCACCGGCATTATGATCTCCAAGTTCTGTAAAAATTTTATTCGTGACCTTGTTACCCAAACAAAAAATGCATTACTTTATTTTCCTTACCTTAATATGCTCGAAAGCCTTCATGATAACAGGCCTTTGAACACTTTGTATACTTGAATTTTGATTAGCAAATTTAATATAACGATTATAAACTGTCTCAAAATTTAATGGTTCTCCTTCATAAATTTCTGTCTCGTGTTTCATTGCTATTATCTGAAAAAATGGTACAATAAAAATATGATTCGTCACCATAAAAGAAAAAAGCAAAAAATGCACTTACCAAGCAAATTTCTAAAACAGATAATCCCTCGAGCATTAGAACCTTATCGTCTTGAGAGAATATTTTACTTGCTTCTACGAAATCATTTACTTCTAGTCTTTGATGTTTCTCTGACAATGTAGATACAGCAACTGCCAGAAAATTTCTAAAACTTCTTTCGCTTACATCAATCTGATACATTTTCTTTAACAAATTAACCATAGTAGCATTATTGATTAAAGTTTTTATATACTCATTCCACATAGACCCAAATTGTGGATCTATTGTACAATCGTCGTATTGCTGTTCTATCCTATTAACATTTTCATCGTCAGGGAGACTGAGAAGATGTTGTAAGAGTTCTAAACGATCATCAAAACCAGACTTTGGTTGCTCCGACGATGATGTATCACCAGGAAACAAGAATATTTGACGATGAGAAAATCTTGATTTAACTCTTTTTTCTAAAAGTTCTATAACATCCAATCTACAAGTCATTCCTAGCACACATATTGGAGCCTAAAAGAATAGAAAAATTTATTTAAATTAAGATCAAAATAGATGATGCATAATTTTTGTCTATACCTACTTGCGCAGATTGAGTAATATCAAATAGATTATACAGCAGTGTTTGATTATTGTGGTTGCAAAACAAGTCAAATTCGTCTAATATAAAAATAACTGGTTTCGAACGCTTCTTATCGCCTGCCTTTAAACAGTCAAGCAGAAAAGTCAAATTCTCTGCAAAAGTACCAAACACTTTGTCGCCCACTACATTTTCTAATTGCATCTGACGAGTAGCATCTTTCAATGCTAAACGGTCATCAGTATGTACAAGACCATGAAGATTTACTATTAAAGCATTTTCTTTGAAACTTTTTATAGACGACAATTCTTTTAAAACACTATTTATTAGCTGAAATAATAAATATTTATAAAAAACCACGAATGCATTAAGCTAGAAATTTTAAATTAAACTGATGAATATACATACTGTTGTTTTTCCACAACCCCTAGGACCAACTAATAAAGCAGAATTACTTTCACCCATGTCGACCGTACGCTTTAATAGTTCCAATATATGCAAGCGTTCTTTCACATGATGCCTAAACTTTGTTTCAGGGCACATAATTTTACGTTTTAAATATTTCCTTGTAAACAATATCATATTATCTTGAAAATCAATGGCCATATTTTTTTTTTTATTCATATTATATTTTTTCTGAAATGCGTTAAGAATTTATTGCTAATTTATTTGTTGATTTTCTTTTACATATAAAATATATATATTGAGCAATAAATAGTTGACTAAACTTTGTTGATTAAACTTTTATATTAACAAAATTATTATTTTCCACTTGTACAACGATCATTACGAAAATTATGTGTTTTATAGTTTAATAAGTTTTTATAGTTACATTAAGCTACAATTTGATAAACGCATAGCGTCTCTGATTAGTCAAATATAACCTGTTCATTTTACGAAATAACATACGTGATATCTTTAAAACATGTTTGAACATTTAATTCACTTACATAGATACTGTATTAATTGATAGGGTGAAAGGGCATGTACTTTCAAAAATTCTAAATTAATAGAGAAATGTCAAATCTTTGATTACTAAAGCGTTGGAACCAGGTTGTTTACAAAACAAATATGGAAGACGCAGAGTTCAAAACGGACGAGAATAATTGTACGTTTTCATTTAAAAAAAGAAAAATACGAAACACCGCAGCCAGGAAACGTAAAACAGCGAACTATGAAGACGGTAACTATGTTCAATAAGTGTCGAATCTATCCTTACTTAAATAGCCAGTAATTTCATTATATAAATTTGATTATCGTCCTCCATAGGTTATGTATTTTAGAAATAAATTTTAATTTATAATAATTCGCAAAAGTGTTCATTTTGTTCAACTTAATTTCATTAGTATTTACATTACGTTTTTTTCGAAACATAATTACAGTGACACACTTGTACTATTTTAAAAAATAAGAACTTTATTTTAATTATGTGTAAATACATTTTGAAAATAATGTTATGTAAATACTAATAAAAGTTGACTACATTCTATTCTCGTATATGAACACTTTTGGGAGTTACCATACGTATCAAATATATTTTTTAAACAGAGAGCAGCGAAGACGAAACTACAGTGATTCAAAAAGAGAGGAAACAAAATGATAATAATCCTATGAAACAAAGCGTAAGTATAGTACAAAAATTTGTATATAATGCTTGTTGTAAGGTATTTTTAGTTTGTGGTCTATGAACTCCTATAGGGTCAGAAATGGATAGTTGGAAGTTCAAAAACTTTTACATAGAAATTTCAAACACTTATTTTCACTGCATACATTATGCCTAAAAATATTAACTTTATTTTTTCAATGTTTCAATACTATAGTACTTTGCAATATTCTTTTTATGAAATGAATTTTGTAACATCTCAAAACACTGCAGAATCTTTTTAACAATTATTTTTTATTTACTGTCTAATATAAATTCTATCAAAGATGCAGACTTAGCCAAGGATAAGCTCGATCTAAAAATAAAAAATTTGCTAGAACTGAAACTAAAGAGATCTTTAAGAATTCTGTTGTTCCTTGTAAGTTTATTCTAGTCTTATAGAGCACTTTGTGCAACTTTTTATCCTGCGTGGATGAAAGGCATTGATTTAATTAATACATAAAAATGTTATTTTGAGGAACATTGCATAGAAAGAGTTCGTGAGCTCCAACCAAAGTGTTAATTAAGAGCCACTGTTGTGAGGTTTTATTTATATTTTACAATAATTCAAGCATTAATAAAAATGGAAAGTTTTGCAAATACAGTATTTTGTAGACTAATAAAAGAAGATTTAAAGATAAAAAAGAAGCCATAGATGTCAGCAGCGATGAAGAAAATATTACAATTTCTTACAAAAGTACCAGGACTCCTATGCCAGCTGGACCAAGCGATCAAGGAGCAACAGCAATTTTAGAAACAGAGACAGAAAAGGATAAAGATGCCCAAGCTTTATTCGAAAAGTCCCAAAAGATAAATGAGGTAAACAGACGAATGTCTCTCAAAGAAAGAGCCCCAACTGTACCACCATTGATTTTGTCAAAATTGGGGGACTAGCGAAATGGTATGATTGGGGCCTTCCCCTTGTAAGAATAGCATGAGTTAGTGCAATATAATTATTTTTAGGAACGTGAAGGGAAAGAAGATGATAAAGTTTATAGAGGTATAAATAATTATACTCAATATTATAAGAAAAAGGATACTGCTGCTGGAAATGCTTCCAGTGGTATGGTACGTAAAGGACCAATTCGGGCACCAGCTAATCTTAGAGCAACTGTTAGATGGGATTATCAGCCAGATATATGTAAAGACTATAAGGAAACTGGTTTTTGTGGATTTGGAGGTAAATAGAATGAAAATAATCATTATTGCAACTAGTGAACTTGTAATAACTGTGATTTTATTTTCAGACAGCTGTAAATTTCTTCACGATCGTTCGGATTACAAGCTAGGATGGCAATTAGAAAGAGAAGCCGCTACAGGAGAGTATAACAATAGCGGGGACGAAGATGATAAAAAGTACGAGATTGATAGCGACGAAGAAAGTCTTCCGTTTAAATGTTTTATTTGCCGAAATAGTTTTACCGATCCTGTCGTTACAAAGTATGTGTAATTTTTGTACAGCCTTAACCCTTTGCAGACGATCGAATAACTTCTGAAGTATACATTCTACAAAAAATACTTTTTATACAAAAATTGCATGGTTTGAAGAGATATATTATGCATTGCATCCTTTTTTATAAGTGATGGCGTTTTGGAGATTAGAAGATCAATAGCGTTTTTTTTAGATGGATTGCTATGTTTGTTTTGACATTAAGTATTAAGAAAGTAATATGATAAATAAAAAACGTATTGTTTTGAATTGTTCTGTCCGCAAAGGGTTAAAAGATTTGAATTTAGTCGGTTGATATATACGGTAATTTTATATTTCAGATGTAAGCATTATTTTTGCGAGAAATGCTCGTTAGAGCATTATAAGAAAAGTACCAGATGTTACATATGCAATACGCAGACCAACGGTGTTTTCAATCCAGCTAAGGAATTAATTGCACGGGCAAAGATGGAGGACAAAGGAAGAACAGTCGAGGAAGACGAAGTTTTTAACGAATAATAAAGTATATTTTTCCGACGAAATAGTATTTTCTATCGAACAGTTGCAATTTTATTAATGTATAGATTATGATGTCGCGTAAGGTATTAAACGAAAATTCTATATACTGAATTTTTCACAACTCAATTTACGGTGCACACAATATTCTTTTCGACCTTCCCTTAGATTCTTCTTCAATTACTTTTAGATTCGACCGCAAAATACTTGAAGAAAGCGTATTTTAGAATTGGTTCATAACGATGTTAATAATAACGTTCAAGCGAAAATGAAAACTTATACAACGAATGGAATGACAAAGTAGTTCGACAACCCTTTCTAGCAAAAGGTCTAGATTTGGGAGATCTCGCGTATGAACCGTTCCGCAAACACTCGTCGAGTTCAGAGATGCCAGAAGTGCACCGAAGGCACTGTCTCACACTATGTCAGATCACGTGTTACGTGAGCTTGTAAAGTTTCGGAAAGTCGACAAAGACAAACTGACGCATGCCCTCTTTCTCGATTCTCCGAAGCTGCCCGAAGTAATTTCGAACCGTCTCATGGGAGTCGAGAGAGAAAGTCTCATATTTGCCTTCTCGCTCTTAAACAACTGAAATCCGACCTCCCGTCAACGGCATACGATTTGGAATCTCGAGCCGAGATTCTCGACTGCCCAAGCATTTTTACTTTCCGACCTGTGTAGGCGCACATAAGCAAAATACTCATAATGTAAAAAAAATTTTGTAAAATTTATTTTACGGAAATACACGTTTTAAGACACCCTGATCATATTTTAATTATTGAAAAAAAAGAAATTTTTTTTTATTATTCATATGTATGAGCGTACATATGTATATTATTAATACGATTTTTCAAAATCAAAATACTTTAAGATTGAAAATTAATAAATTAAAATGAGAGTCCACTCTTTGCCAGTATCGTGCACGCTGTGGCAGTTTTCGATAAGAAGAGTTCTTATTTTTATAACATAAACAAAACAGTAGAATTAATAGTTGCAGAAATTAATTAATAATGATTTTCCTCGATATGGTTTGAGATAACCGTATTAATTCGTTATGACGAACTAAATATTATATTTGATTTGACTTAACTTTGCATACAAAAATAATTGTATCGATCCATCAAAATTAATAACATGCACGATACCGCTCAATGGAAACCACGGCAAGGTGGTGGTCTCTTCCATCAGAAGGGAAATGTAAAAAACTGTTATTTAATTATGACATTGTGCAACATTGAAATGTTTAAACTGATGTAATGAAAAAAGAGAGTCGCGAGATCCCCGCCATCAAACCGTTCAAAAACAAAGGAAAAGTGAGCCCATTTGTCAGTTTAATACAAAGTATGGGTTGGATTTAAAATTTTAAAGGGACATAGTCGAATATTTTTAAAATTACAAAACATAGCGTTTCATTTTAGAACAGTAACATGAGTTAGCAGGTAATGTCATAAAACTGTTTTACCCAGTTATATCCTATTTTACTTGAAGTATAAGGTAAATGAAGCGGCCTTTCCATCAGAGTTAAATACAAAATTTTGTAATTTCTGTGAAAACAGAACTTTCAGTAGATGTAGGTGGTGCTTGAAATTGTTATGTTTTCACTGTTTTTACGAAAAGTACCATCCAGATTCATGTACTTCGTACATTGAAAATAACATATGTTAAATGTAATTGGTTAAATTCAACTTTAAAAAAAAAATATTCAAAGGTCAGACAAAAATTTTAATGTCACATTTAGTGTACGATTAAAATATGATTGAAAAAATAAAAAAAAGATTTGTTCTACCAGGGTTCGAACCTGCAGAGAAAAAGAAGCTTGAATTTGCAGGCAAACACTTCATCACTCATGTCACGCTGGTTGCTGGTGAACGTAGTTCTATTTCTAAAGATAAGGACCAGTAATAACTTTAATAATACTTCAAAGTAAAACCTAACCCAAAACCGAGTACCATTCCAACTTTTCCTTGTTAGAACTGAGTTTTCAATTTTTCTTAGCGAAAATCGCAGCCGATTAAGCTGCTTACCTGTTTACAATTACTAAACATTTATTTCTCAATTAACCCTTTGCGAGTGAGACCATTTTGCACATCATTCTAAAACATTTGTCGTATTCGTTTTCAATACGATTTAAGTAAGCATGTAATGTATAAGATTTCATTTAATTTTTTCGTTTCTAGAGAAGATAGAGAAAAAGTTTATTTAATTTTTTTTACATAAAATTTAATTCTTCCTAAGATTTATATGATATAATCATTATTATCCACGGGCTGATTATAGTCAAAGTCTAACCGGACTTTGAAATGAGAACATAAAACTTAAATGTAAAGTTTCATTTAAATTCATTCAGCCATTTATATGCACGCTCATACATAGGAATAATAGAAACAATTTCTTTTTTTCAATAATTAAAATATGATCAGGGGGTCTTAAAACGTGTATTTCCGTAAAATAAATTTTACAAAAGTTTTTTTCATTATGGGTACTTTGCTTATGTGCCCCTACATACATAGGTCGGAAAGTAAAAATGCCTGGGCAATTGAGAATGCCATTGACGGGAGGTCGGATTCCAGTTGTTTAAGAGCGAGAAGGCAAATATGAGCCTCTCTCTCTCGATTCCCACGAAGCGGTCCGAAATTACTTCGGGCAGCTTCGGAGAATCGAGAAAGAGAGCATACATCAGTTTGCCTTTGTCGATTTTCCGAAATTCTACGAGCTCATGTACGCGTGATCTGACATGTGTGAGTAGTGCACCCGGTACTGAATCTGGCATCTCTGGTCGAGTTGCCGACGAACGAGTTGAGGGGAGGTGCAGTGGGACTAGCTATGTAGGGAGAAGGTGATTCTAACGGCTCGTAGTTCCTTCAATCGATACACCGCGCAGTGTTGTTTGCCTCGTAGTATAAAAATGTTACAGAATTTCTCGTTTTACACGGGTATCCAAAGATCACCTGAAAACGAGGCACGAACGTTACAATATCATTCCGTCGCGGTACAAACCACCGAATAAAGAGACTAGTGAGAAAGATGTTGCAAAACAAAATAGTGCACTGCTAGAAATTCGAGAGTTCTCGTATCCGAGCCTTGGCATCCCTTCATTGATTTCCAAGACACGCCGCGTGCAAAAACTTGCGAAGTGCAATGTGATTGTTGTATTAACAGAAACTATATCGTGAAAGTGTACACGTTCGATAATCAATCGCAAATTATAGTGCTTCGCATTAAAATTTAGACTCGAACACGAGATTCGTTTCACGGCTTTTATCAGTACATTGAACAGACGTATCACCCTCGAACGAAACAATGTTACGTTGATCGAATTGTTGCGAAAAATCATAATTGAATTATGGTTATTTGAACGTTGAAGCATTTTCCTTTCTATTTAGTTCATCGACCAGTCGTGACTGAATGAAATACCAACAGTGTCCAAGCAACAATGCTACTCCAATGATTGTTCCCTGTCAAACGAGCCCTCGAATATATCGTCATGGTGTGAAATGAAATAATATCGAAGAACATGTCTTCGATAACAGCTGTTACTAAGGCTACTTTCGAAACATGGTGCTATCGATACGATAGTACGGTAGTATCGACTTTCCGTTGAACTATCAAACTACTCGAAACTTTTCTCGTAACATCAGTGTGTGTATCATCGACGAGCTAATGATCGATGAATGCCTCGGACTAAATGTGTTGATCATCGTTAACGACACGCCTACTACATTTCGAACTGTCGAGAAAAACGTTTTAAAAGAAGAAACATTCAGTAGGTGTTACGTTTCGCGGAAATCTTCTATTAACCAGGTAAGCCCTTTCGGTTTGCTATTTGTTAAATGTCGCGTTTCTTTTGTTAAGTGTGTTAGACGGCAGGTTATTTTAAACGCGATGTTATCCATTGAAATCGTGATACGGTGTGTGGCAGCGTTGGCTTCTTAATTAGTGATAATTACCTATTAAATACCGTTATCGTGCTAGTATTATACTATACACCTCGAGGCGATCGTCATCGCGCACGAAGCTTTGATACAAACATCAACCGTGGGGTGTTCGCGAGTCAGGGACCAAGGGAAACTTTATGATCGAAATTCGCCGATATGCGTCATCGTGTGGTTTAAATTCGTTAGGTAGTGCACTTTAATGCGTCGCGATGCTACCACGTGTGGCTCGTATCGTACTTTCCTAAGCCTTAGAATACGACTGATAATTGACGCCAAGTGATCGTTACAAGGTATTGAAACTTGCAAAATTCGATTATAATTGACTGCTTGTAAAACACGCCATGCTAGGAGCATGCGGACGCTGGTGTATCAAAAAGGACGCAAGCAAATAAGAACATCAGCTTTTATTGTTGGTAAGAAGATCGAAATAACGTTATTAATCCTAGCGTGTATAATTTAACAAAATTTATTATGTGTGAACAATATGCAAAAAATCAATAAATATGAACCACTGTTCGTGCGCGGATCGATATATGTGTTTGTGATACATATAAAATTATTCTTGTATAACTAAATTAATGCAAATATACATCATTGTGTACTGTAAAGATAAATTTTTATACTTTGCAATTTGAGAAATATTGGAGTTTTTGAACAATTCTAATATTTTGTTCGTTCTCGTGTAATGCACATACATCGCGTAACGTGACGTTTTATCATGAAAGTTGACAAATATTTATTTTTCTCCAATATCTCTTAATCCCCGCGTCGTTAACTTCCTACTACATTTACCGTGTCATTTACAATTTCGAGAAAGAACGATTGCGATAATTATTTCTCTTAAACAATTATCAAGTAATTTTATTAACGAAACTATTTCATCGATTGATTATCTACGCGAGCTAACAGATGTTAGTGGTTGTAACTACTTTTTTCTCTTTACTAACGATTTACTGTTTTGTTCCAACGAAAATAATAATTTATGCTAGAGGAAGTTTCAACGACCGAAACTTGTAGCACAATTATATGTACCTACATTCGTAATAAACGTTTTAGCAGTCTCGATTCCTAGAATCAACTAAAAATAAATATGCTATAGTTAACGATACATACAGGGTGTTTATCTACTAATGGTAATCTTTTTTGGGAATGGTTCTACAGGTAAAAATAAGACGAAATTGCGATAAAAATTCCTAAATTATTAACAGCCGAAATTTCATTAACGTTTTTCTTTATTAAAAAAGACAAAGAACAAGTTAAACATTTTAAATCATGTTTCCAAATCACGAATATACAGAGCGTTCTTTGTATCCGACGATAAAATATTTCGAATAAAAAGTTAATCAGTTTTTAATCGATTACAAATCGTAATGTAACAAGCTTTAAACGCCAGTTTGTTTTTTTATAAAAAATCATGGTCATCTTGAGCGCTTTAAATGATCCGTATTAGAGATGGCGTGAACTGCTACTTTTGAATCACTCGTGATTCGATCACGTTCATTCCCAATCATGGTGATTTTTCACAGTGATTCGTGATTCTTCGTGATCGCTTTTGATTGACGGGAAGCGTTCTTTTCACTGCTCATGAATTATGTCCTTAGACTGTACATGTATTATATTATAATATGGTCTAAAAGCAATGTTAAAATAATTTTCTTATTAGGACAAAGAAAAGGAAAAATTAAAAGTGATAAATAGATATAAGTATAAGTTTTATTTCTCATTGTTTCAACATTCGTTTCATAAATGTTCGTGAAATTTTTCAACAAAGTAATGTATACGCAAAACAAACCTGTTTGTAATTTTTAATTCTAACTAATTTCTTTATAATATAAATATATACAAAATGTCATATTAATGTATAAAAACGTATATAAATGTATAATATGTATGTTTTCGTATAAATGAACATAAGAATTTTCATTACTGATGATTTTATACTTTTTCTAATTTTTAAAGCGAGTGTTTTACACCTAAGCAATACTTCTTTTTTGTGGCAACAAACTTATCATTTATTTAAATAATCAACTGAAATAATTTGACATTTGAAATGTACAAAATATGCAACTAAGCAGCCTTTTCCATTATTTAGACTACATTACTTTACAATTTAAATTTGACGCATTATAATAATTCTTTTAATTTCCACTGAGGGGAGTTAGCGGAACACTAACGATCACAGTTAACGTGAACCGCTACTAAAACGCCATCTTTCGGATCACGGTCTTGAGAATGGAGTTTAATCACGAGCGTGATCGTGATTTGTGACCACTGTGATAAATCACTGTTAGTGATTTTGCACGCCATCTCTAATCCGTATATATTGGACTTTGCAGAATTGTTGCTGATGAAAAAGCGAATTTAACAACTTACTATACCTTGAAATATACTATATTTGAAATCGACATATGTTTAAAACAGGGAACAAGACGTAGATTAATGTAGAGCAGGACAATTAGCCCTTGCTATGAGACTTTCACGTAAAGAAAAAAATTAAAATTATTTTATTCGAATCAGTTTATAATAATAAATGCTCGAATCGTTGTTCTTTTTTTTGGAAGCACAGTTCCAGTTGCCTAAGCTAAAGACGTAAGAAAAGAGATAAGAAAAAGTGTTAATATAACTTGTCCGCCCACTTTCATTTATACTGTTGCTACGGGTAGTGGATTGCTGGATATTAAACACTTTAAGGTACTGCGACGTTACACAAATTAGAAACCGAGTTTGCTCACAATATAATTCGATCTTGAGACGAGAACGTACACTTTAAATATCAAGTTTCATTGAAATACATTTAGTCGTATAGTATTAAAAGACACAAATATTCACATTCAATAAATTTATATTCTTTTAATGGTCAAAATGTGTGTTCGAAAATTTTTAAATATGTGTTTCCATCAAAATAATTTTCTTTCTAATTTTCAAAATATTTCTTGATTGCAATACATTCTGTGTAGATTGGAAAGTAAAAATACCTCAAACACAATTTCGTTATTATCGATTTACGTCTTATTTTGACCTATAGTCATCTTTAAAAGGATTATCATTAGTAGTCAAATACCCTGTATAAATATACAAGGTGTCCCGTAGTTTTTCCATCAAGCTGCGAGAACTTAATTTAAAGGTTAGAAAGAAAAAGAAATAGTTTGCGAATAAACGCTTTGTTTTAGATTTTAAAACAACATAACGTCACTCAATTTTGACGTTTGGGGAAAAATTATACAAAGAATTAAAAACACACTTAATAAAATTTAGTAAAATACCGTGGAAATTCAAAGATTAATAAATTCAACTGTTTATTGATGTGAAACTGGCATCTAAGTAGGATATTATTTTTGAATGAAATTTTTAAAATAGTACGGTATAGGATATAGTTTACAATTTTTGACAGATGATAACAAATATGTGACTATGGGCACAGGTCAGATAAACTATTTGTACAATATTTGTTTTCAAAGCTTTTATCTATAAATATTATATGTATAATATTTTTTTCTTCTTTTGAGTTCTAGATAAGTTCTCACAGTTTGGCAGAAAAACCACGGATCTATTATTAAATAGGATTTTTAAACCATATCAGATTATTTCATAAGAATTTCATTGTATAAAGTGATGAAATGTCGATATAAAATGTTATTTTGCCGAAACAAGGAATAAAAAAAGCGACGTCGAATGAAAATATGATGGGGACAAAGGGTCGCGAAAATGTAAACTCTTGTTGTAGTTAATAATGCTACTGGTGACGTTGACACAAGGATAGCACGTGTAGTTGTGTATATTTAAATAAAGAATCACGCGCGTTTGTGAACGTCGCGGTCGATCGTATATATGAACGCGAATCGATAAATTAGTTGCCAGCGTGTGTGTGAATCCGATGACACATTTTTAAAGTTGTAACCGATGACAAGTGCCGACGAAAAATACACACCTCGATGCAATCTGCGGTAACATCGCTGTTAACGGAAGATGGCGCGATAAACGCCATTATGTGAGCCATCTTTTAACCCTAGAATGATCTACTTATCAAGTTGTGTAATAAGTCTGTTCGCATCTCTTTATAAGAATATTAAATACTGTCAATTTGATATAAATCTTTCTTCATCAATGGTACATGTACCATTTTGTTTTACGATCTGCCATTTTTTAGATTGTTCTACTTTATGTTTTCTTCGACGTTGCACGTTGTAACACTTTGTTTATGTATATTTTTTCTATGCTCAACGAAATTTGACATCAGACGTCTGTGCTACTGGAAAGATAATATTTGTTGGTGACGATTACCTAATTTGTCTCCGATAAAACTAGAATAAAAAACTGTCGTCCAACCAGTGCTGTACAATTGTGAGAATGATTATAAGCAGAATGGATAGCTCTAAATTAAAATTATTTTGAAAAATTACTAGACAGAGTGTCTAAATAATGTCTCAAAATAATGACAATCGTTTTAACGAAGAAAAAATTTAATACTGATTTATATTCATATACCATATTGTCATTTTATATTTTTTATTATTTACTAAGTTTGGGTCATAATAAATTAGTTTAATATACGACTTTTGATGAGTAATTTCAGCTACCCTTATTTCTCGAAAATAGGTTTCGTTTGACTTTGCATAGTATCTCCATCTATCAACGATGCAACTAATTAATATCCATTGATTCTCTTTTTCTATAGCCTTTTGTTTTCATGAATCCGTACTTGTGCATTTTCAGACATAACCTTGTAAAAATAAGCGTTTTTTAAGCAAGGTAAGTTAGTATTTTTAATTTATATGAAAATATCTGAGAGGTGCAAAATATTTCAGACATATCTTAGACTACATTGTTACAACGTAAAGGAGGCTGTTAAATATGAAATTTTTATTTTCAAGCAATGCCAAAAACAAGTACTTTTAACATTTTCTTTTATGTTTTAATTGATTTTTAATGCAAAATAGATACTTTAAGCTATTAAGATTGAGAGAAAAATGGTAACAAATATATAAATCATTCAAATTTTATAACATTTCTTAATTGAAAGAAAAATTGTATTTTAATGTGGCTAGTAACATAAAGGGTTTTAGTAAAAATATGTGCAATCAGAGTTAAACCTAACTAACTATTTAGTCCTTCGTTCTAATCTTACAATTACTCTTGTTCTTGTTACTTGAATTATTAGTTCAATATCTGAACAAGTATGTTCGAGGATAGCTCTAGTTAATCTCTGATGATTATTTCAGATGGTTCGTGGCAGTGATGCCCTCGTCGGAGGAGGAAAGCCAGTGGCTTGTTGGCAGCGGGACTGGTCTCCCATCTTCCGGCGGTGGTACAACATCCGGAACTGGAGAACGTACAGCCAGTAATAAAGGAGGACTTTACACAGAGGAGATGACGACGCAACCAGCAAATGCGAATAACGCGGGTGTGAATGCGGCTTCAACCGATTCCGCCGAGCACGATCTTATTGACTCCACAGCAGATGCAACACTTTTGGCACAATTTCATGAAGATGCTATTAAGCAGGTCCATTAGATGATTATTATTCTTTTGTCTTCGCTATCAGCGAATTTTAGGTCAATTTTTTAGTGGTTTCTTAGACAAAGGACAGCAAAATTTTTGTATTATTCGCAGTGGTTTGATTTCAACAAACGTACATGTACGAACTGATTAAAGGGGTTAATAAAGAATAATCAAGAATAAATAGTAACGTAGGAGTAATATAAATGTTGATAATCTTGCACTTTACTTTTTAAAAATATTGTTGCGCTTGTGAGGGTTTTTTTCACTGAACTCAATACAACACAACTAATGAACAAGGAACTTTATTAATACAGAGATCTTATGGAACGTCTGTTTACCCCGAGGTCTCTCGCGATTCTATTCTTTAAATCGTTGCCGATTCCTCTAGCAACCGGAAGGCACGGGTCCTTGCTTTCGCTCGTTCGAAGTGGCAGCTTCACATCGTTGCGGAATAGCCTTCACATTGCCGCAACGATGCATCTTCAAACCGTCGCAACAATATTTTGATATTTATTTTATCATAAAGTAAAGTGTTAAATAGATGTTTCATTATGCGTATATCTAATACAATCTATTATATTTTTCTGTTCCAGGCTGGTGTTGGTTATTTCCAAATATTGGCTGCTTTGTGCACAGGCTTAAGTCTTGCAGCAGATACTGTTGAATTTTTTGTTGTACCGTACATTTTGCCAAGTGCAGAAGTTGAATTGTGCATCGAGGACAATGAGAAAGGATGGCTTAGTTAGTTAATCATAATATTAAGTTGGCTAATAAATAATGTCGAATTTTTAAAGTAGATGAAATTTTTTGCTTCTTTTAATAGAACCTAATATATAATAAATAAGAGAAGTTTTCTACGGTAAAAAAAATGACTGCTGTTTCTTACAGAAAATTTCGAGATTACTTTTTGGCCAATTGAATGTTCCCTTTCGTCGTGTATTTGCTGCTAAGCAAGCATTCTTCATATGATTGTATTATAGGCAATATTACACTGATGGGTCTTGCTTTGGGTGGATTATTCTGGGGTGGTCTGGGAGACAGACTTGGAAGGCGTAGATCTTTATTATCTGCAATGTCTGTTCATGCCTTATTTAGTTCCGTTGCTACTTTTATGCCAACTTATGGCACATTTATGACTGCAAGATTTTGTTCTGCAATTGGGTAAGAAATTCCTCTTTTTCTTTCATTTATTGTAGTTCAGTTTTATATAAAGTAAATTATGTAATTGATTTCATTACAGAGTAGGAGGATCTTTACCACTAGCATTTGCATATCTCGCAGAATGTTGTCCAAGACTTAGCAGAGGTCCATGGGTTGGTTTACTTGTAGCAGCAGGAGCGCTAGGAGGTGTATATGCAGCTCTTTTAGCGTGGGTAGTAGTTCCCACGACTGGAGAAATGGTTGTTCTTGAAAATAAGGAACATTTCAGTGCTTGGCACCGCTTTTTGCTGCTTTGTTGTTTACCTGCATTGTGCTCTACTATTGGACTTATTTTTATACCAGAAAGTCCTAGATATCTGGTAGAAGCAGGCAGAGATGTGGAAGCAATGATGGTTTATCAGGTACAATTAGACTTTTATAACTTGAACCTCTTCATGTTAAAAGCCTTCATGAAATCAAGATAATCAAAACCATTAATCATAGTACGTAGTTTTAATCAGTTGTTATTAATACTTTTGTGCCTTTGAAATGACTTTAAACTTAAGAGGCCAGTCCACTGTGACTACCTGAAATTAAGTCGATATTTGGGAATTTTTTGTAAAAAAAACTATACAACATATCATTTTGTAACTTAAAGGGTTTGTTTGTCATTATCTTACGATCACTTTAAAATTTTTGTGAGCAAGGGGAGTGTATGTGTAGGAGGTTGTAGTTCGTTTTTTATAGCACTACAAAACAACTGACAGCCACGATTCCAGCTGTTCTAGTAATCTGAAAATAGAAAACAAACAAGATTTTGAATCTGTATGAGTGTGGCTATCGTAGGTAGCAAAACGGTTTAAAAATGTTAAATAGGAAAAAAATACTGCTATTTTGAAGAGATATCTGTTAATTAATAAATAATAATTTTGGTAAGGACGAGAGGAGCACATCTAGTGAATATATATACCAAACCTGAAGTGAATTGATCTATCCGTTATAATGTTATTATTGTTGGCAGTTCTGAAAAAATGGTTTCGAGAAAAACACGTTTGAAGTTTCAAGTACTAGATACTGTCTAGGTGTATATAATAAGTTTTTATTGTACTTAGAGCTAATCAGCTACTCCAGGACCACATAATTCTCCTTCCTCCTTTTCGTAGAACTCGTGTAGAGTCGATTATACAGTTCTACGAGCTGTTCGAACCTCTTTCGACACCAGTTGGTTTCCTATCGCTGCGCGTCTTTTGCAGATGTTATCGCGGTTGTTAGCAACAATTTTAGTTATTATTATATTTTTAGGACAGAATAGAATTTGTTATCGAGACGGCTTGCCAGCCAAGTAGGCCGATATTTCGATAGTTTCTGATCCACAATATAAGTGCTTCTGCACGAAGTGCCAAAGTAACCTGTTGAAGCTTTCATTATTGTTTTAACTCCGGTCAAATCTCTGTGTGCGGTAGGAATACGCTTCGTGTCAAGGCTCGTAACACTGTCAATTTGCCCAGTTTTGCAAAATTCTTTTGGGAACATGTTTTTAACGCATCAAACTTTATGAAAACGCAAAAAATAAAAATTCGATTTTTTCAATCCGTCACAATAGAACGGTCTCTTAAGAACATGAAGAAGAAAAAATTTTAATTGTAACGAATATCCTTCTCTACAAGAACACGGTTCACATTCGAAATCCTCAACATTAAAAACTATACCTTCAGTTTTTTAAACATCCTTATTAGTCAAAACTACTTAGTAAGTTTTCACAAATCTAAACTGTGATAAGAAAATTTTGTATTTCCTTTAAACTTCGATTTACCAATATTGATTATATTTCGTATATCTGTATTTGTATTTAAAACAGTTGCTCTTTTGTATTAAAATGAATGTGTATCTATAGAAAATATACAAGAAAAATAATGCACGAAAAGGTGCCACAGGTGCACAGTATCAACTTTCTGAATTGGAGCTTCCAACGAAAAGGCCTCGTGGTTTGGCACCTCCATCTCCTACTAACCACACTAGCGTTTTGGCCGACATAATTTATTCTATTGAAATGGTAAGAGCTTATGTACCACATACATAAACCTTAATAAACCTGAAAATTAATATTCAATCTTTACTGAATTACTAGTTTTGGAATTCTTTTCTGGAGCTATTTATATCACCGCATTTACGTGTAACGGTAGTGCTGATAATTATTTGGACGACCGTATCATTCGGGTATGTATTTTTGTTAAATCTTTATTTAATTTTTTTTTAATATTATAAAACTTTACTCTTTTTTTTAGACTATACGGCCTTATGGTATGGTGTCCCGAATATCTCAAGCTTCTACGTGCTACAGAATACAAAAATCACACTGTAACAATTTCTGGGGAAGAGTTTAAAGGAAGGATATTCAGTGGCTCTTTAGAGAATCGCCAGTACAGAGATTCGATCTTTTTAAACTGCAAGTAAGTAGTATTATTTTTCATATTTTTTTTTATGTAATCGTGCAAACGGAGAATGAATAGTTTTAATCATAAATAAAAAAAAGCGTAAAGAAATGAGGTGAGCTTATAATTTTGTCTAGCAGTGTATTTGGTTATCTAATAAGTGTCCGTTCGCGTTTATAAGACTATTCAATATTACGAATTTTATATAGAATTTACTTAATAAATGATATACACTGCGGAGTATGACTATAGCACAACAAATATTTTCAAGATTTTTTTAATGTAAAAGAAAACCTAAAAATAGTAATTGCACAATATTGAAAGGTATCGTAAACGGTGAACTTATACGTTATTGTGATGAAGAAATAAGTTTTTTCCAAAATATGAGTGCCATTTCTTTTATATGATTGCTTTTAACTTATTCACTAAACAGTATGATGAAATTTTACCCAAATGAACAGTATCTTTCGCTATTAATCGTCTAGTTATATGGTAAATATTTATAATAATTAAATTATATTATTGAAGTACCGCCATTGACTCGAACAGATTTATCACATAATCTAATATTTAGGGTAATATTTCATCAGTTTATACAAGAGCCTTTATGTTTCAGATTTACAAAGATGGTATTTAGCCACGTAGATTTCGACAATTGTACTTTCCAGTCTGTAGAATTCAGTAGCATAAAGTCCAGTAAAACTCACTTTACAGATAGTATCATTGTATATTCGAAGTATGTATTAAAAATATAAATTTTTGATAATATTCTTTCTTAAGTTCGAAATGCATTGCGATCTATTATTTATAGATTTGTAGATACGGATCTGTCTGCGCAAGTTTTTACGGGATGTATATTGGAAAATAATACGGAATTAAGTTTAAGTGGACCGTGCCCAACACTCGATTTGGATTATAATATTTATATAGAAGAAGCTCTACATGGTCATCTCGTTGCTCAATTGGCCTTTGTGCCTGCTGCTACTTTGGCAGGACTAGCACTTACTGTTCTTCAGCGGCCAAAAATGATTGGTATTTCATTATTTTTCTCTTCGGTAGCTGCGGTATGTTTAATTTTAGTGGGCACAAATAGTTCGGCAGTCCTTGGATTTGAAGGTGGCTTTATAGCAATTTTTGCTATTGCTTGGACGTCACTTACATTGGTTACAGTCGAGAGCTTCCCTACTCATTTGAGGTAAGTGGTTATACATATACAGTGTTCGGCCACCCCTGGGAAGAATTTTAATGGGAGATTCTAGAGGCCAAAATAAGACGAAAATCAAGAATATTAATTTTTTGACTGAGACTTCATTACAAAGTTATTAAAAAATTAAATTAAAAAATTATTTTTGGTTGCGGGGCTCAATTACAATCATTTTTGGTGAATACACATACCCCTGAAATCCTACCCACTTCCGAGAAAAAAATTCGAGTAGGTTCTGAAATTTTTAGACGAAATTAAGAAATTTCAAATCGTACTAAAAAAATTATATTTAGTTACAGAGGTCAATTACAAGCATTTGTGGTGAATAGACATACCCCGAAATCCTACGCATTTTCGAGAAAAAAATTCCTTACCGAAAATCTAATGTGAGGCCAGAAATGCTTCCCTGAAATTTCATGGGTATCTTTAAAATGTCGTAACTTCTGAACGGATTAGGGGATTTTAAAGTTTCAAAATGCAAATAACGCGTATTTTGATGCAGAATATGTAGAAATTCCAAAAATATACGAAAAGTTGTTCCTTGGCCCCGTAAAGTTAGAAAAACACCATAAAAATGGTCCAATTTTTAAACAGCCATAACTCCTATAATAATGAATATATTTAAATGAAACTTTTTTCTGAAGTAGGGCTCATGGGTACCTACAAAAAAGTATTAGACAGCTTTTCTATAGGGCGTTAAATAAAATGACTAAAAACCAAAAACGAATTTTTAAGAGAAATCGACAAGAGTGCCTAAATTTTTCGGCATTACAAATCCTTTTGGAAAAATTATTTTCAGTTGCGAGGGCCAATTGCAATAATTTTTTATGAATAGACCTACCCCCCAAAATCCTACCCACTTTCTAGAAATAAATTCAGTACGGGCGGAACTTTAAACGTTAATAACTTTTTAACGAAACCTCCATCAACAAATTATTATTCTTGATTTTCGTCTTATTTTGCCTCTAGAATTTTCGTCTTATTTCGCCTCTAGAATCTACCATTAAAATTTTTGCCAGTGTTGGCCGAACACCCTGTATATATTATTTCATTAATACGTTCCATACCGGACGGATTTTTAGTTACTTTTCGTCCAAGTCGTGTGGTTTCGTTTCGTTCAGAAAATTTTTACGAATAACATTTTACTTTCAACATAGAATTACATTGTATTTTTAAAAAAATTTCTCACTTAAATCGTTTGAAAACAGTACTTACTGGTTGTTCAACAAAGATGGACATTAGTTATTGAAATGTTAATGACTTCATAATTTTTTTTAAAAGTTTTAGTTTCTCAATAAAAATATTGAATGGCTTGAACGGCACGGAACGTGTTAAATAAAACGATTCTTGAAAGAATGGAAAATATAAGTTTTATTGTTTTCTGCAGGTGTACTGGTTTTGGTTTCGTGGCGGCTGTTATAAGAATATCTGGTTTAATAGGAACTACAACTTATAAAACTTTAGTCGGCGCGCCCTTAATTGTGCCAGCATTATTGACTGCATTGCCGTTGTTAACAGCTAGTCTCGCAACGTTTAAATTGCCCCATACTCATACAGTTTTCTTATAAGGATCTTACGAATAAGTGACTAAGAACATAGAGTCGCCATCAGAAAGACGTTTTTAATCTATATTTTAATGAATCACTTATGAACTGCGCTGATGTTTTTACTCAATACACTCATGACAAGAAATGTCTCAGAATACATCTCGAGAAGTTCGAAAAAATCGATTTCCACTAAAAGGTATTGAACATAAATTGCAAGTGAAGTGTCTTGGACAAGTGCAAATATTTCAATTTGCAAGTTTAATAAACAGAAATTACATTTTTCCCATGGAAGTGTGACTACGTACAAAGTGACATATCCTAGTTAAATGGAATGATGAATCGCGGTTTGCAAGGAAGGTTGAGTATTTAAAGCGCACAGACATTGAGGATTAATCGTTTTGTACGCTAGAATGTGGACATTTTAGAAGATTTAATATATGTGTTTTAATACGTTGACTGTTCACTAATCCATATGCGGGTAGGACTCTGTCGAATACAGAACAAATACCATCTGTACTGGTAATTTGAAAGATTTTGTAAAACCAAAATATATAGCTACATTACAAGGAAATTAATGCATAGTACTTAGAAGAAAATAGCAGAATATTTATTGTTATGAAAATCTCACCGTTTTTCGGACATTTGAATCGTATTCATAATTCCAGGTTCGAACAGTCAATGTGTTAAGCATAAACGAAGGTCACTGTTGTAGCAGAAAGATCTTAGAGGGAAAGGTGAAAGACGTACGGAGAGATTGAATAGTTGAGTTACATTACTGAAATTTCATGTAGGACTTATACTCCAAGATTACGCTCCATCTAACTTCAAGTTTAATATAAGCCATTTTGCGACTCATTCTTGAGCGAAGAAAGTTGCAAAATGCACATATATGTTTGTAAAACTATTTTAATAGGGCTACAGCCACGAAACGTGTCAATTTTAATGGATGTTAAGAGGCTGAAAATCGTCATCCATAATGATACGTCAAGACATAACAAGAATATTAAAACCCTAGAAACTTTGCTTACTGAAAATGCATTTGCATATCTGAGATAGAAGACGTGGAATGTTATTCATAGTGTGTAAATGTTTTTTTTTTCTTTTTTTTTTTTTGTTCATTAGGCTAGAAGAAGCTGTGCATGTTTCTAGAGTTACTAATTCTAAGCGATTTGTTTGAAAAAGTTTGCCAAGGACAGTATCGTAGAAATTTTTATATTTACAGTTGCTGCATACGCTTTTGCTACTTAAAAAATTAAAACATATATCGTAAGAGAATAGGTAGAGAAACCTGAATTGAGTGATAATGAACTGTTTCTACTCTGAAAAAAACAGTCATTAAGCGAACACACATTAAATATGTTTACTTTTTACCAATTTACTAGCTCACAAAAACTTTAGATGCTAGACTCAGCTAATCAAGAGGCATTATCCATCTAACGAGAAATATAAACGCGGTGTACGGACTCTAAATTCTCAGCTGAAGACTTGAAATTGAAAAAAGTAGAAGCTTGAGCTTTGTTTAGTATAAATCTAAGAGATTATTGCCACTAGTCAACTTTCAATCGTCTTTGAGCTTTTATAAAGCGATGAACTTTTAAAAAACTGTGTCAGACTTTCTAACACTTGCGAATGAAGTAAAACATTTGTTTCTACGGAATCGTATGGATGTATCAGTGTCGCCTTAATTACAGGAGTCGCTATTATATTTACGGAAAATTTTGCTAGAATTTTATTCTTGTCGTGGGATAAGAAATCGCGATGGCAAGCCAAAGCTGACAAAATACTGGTTCCTCAAGACGGACAACTATTCCTAGGTAATAAGAATGTAAAGTAACTTTTATGAAGCGATTATCGAGGTGTCTCATTCTTATTGAAACTTAAAATATATTACTAAATATTTAAGCAAGTTTATTAGTAAAGTACACAAAACTGCTGTTGGCAAACTTAATCAGATAAGAAATTTACGTCCTATCATGGTTAGTGAATTCTTTTATATCAAATTGTTGGCATCTAATTTAAAAGGATAACGTTACGGATCGAGTTCTGCGCATCACTTAAAAGAAGTAGAAACGAGTCGAAAGTGCTTTGTTGATCGCACAAGTTCTTATATAACGATTCTCTTTTCTATTACGTGTTAAAAATAGTGTTGTTGCTCCAGTAACTCAAAAACGTTGCTCGTTCCTACTTCCAAGAGTTGTATTTGTGAACTTGGTAGTGAAACAAGCCTGTGCTGGCGTTACAATTCAGAAAGGTAATGAATCTTCTATTGCATAATGTGTTTAATTAGGAACACGATAAATACAGTGCTTGTAAAATTCATCGAGGACATTTTACAAGATTAGCGTATGACGTTTTCGATCATATTGTTTATCTCGAACATTAATGGACGTATAAACAACAAAGTAGTAATTTCTTTTTCAAATAATAAAATAAAATTATGCAATAGAGGGTTAAATTCCACCTTCTGTTTGCTCTTAAAACAATAGACGTAAATTGTCGAATTTTCAATCTGTTAAAGAGAAAATTTTCTTTGAACCTTATTTGAAGTCGGGACCATACAATACTGATACTTATAGACTTCTAACTTAAACGCAATCACGAAAGAAACGTTTTTCTTCAACGATGTTTCTATAAATTAGTTAAAAAAGTATCAATTAATTTTATTTGAGAGAGGATTGCCGGCACACGCAGTTCCACCTTATTAAATTGTTGCTACAGCGTTATATTTATTGTCGCCCATAGATAATACATTTTACTCAACATATCACTTATGAACCAGCACTCTAGATTCGTAGGCTTTAATTAGATTATTGACTAGATATATTTAGAAGTATGTATCAGCAATCGTAAAAAATTAAATCCTAAATCGATAAAATTGCAGTATATGTGCGTGGAGGAAAGTTGCTAAGACGTTGTCTTTTAGAGTTGCGTTTTAGAAGTTTTCTTTAGAAAGTTTAGTCAAGCGATAATGATGAATACTTTATTTATTCGGATTGTTTATCAGCAGATTAAACCTTGTGATTATAGTAATTGAAAAATATTATCTTAACACAGCAATGAATACTCATAAACGCTGATCGAGCGTAATTCAGTGCAATACTATATTTTTAAGCATGAATATCATTTTTATCTTGAAGAACAACGAGTGCACAAGTGTATGAAATAAATTTTTTTTTTTTTTAACCATGAATTTATTCGATGCCATAAGATAACAAAATTTGTTTTGCTTTCAGTAGTTTTTGAAATAAAAAAGAAATGTTGGTCTTAAGAGCAATGATTAATAAAACAATTGGTATAAACATCGACAATGTTTGTACCACAAGTATCTTGTTTCTCTTCAGATTTGTACTTCTAACCCAGAACAGTATTATAACACATTTCAACTACTTTCCAAAAAAATAATGACAAAATGATTTTCAAAAATTAATTTGTTTTGAAAAATGAAAAGGAGAGTATATACATAGTTTCTGTAATTGCAATACTGCAAACACATGATTCGGATTTATTAAAACAAAGGGTATAGCCGAATAAGCCAAATTTGACATACAATGGATCCATCGATAGAGCATCAGAAAAAACATTCTGTGCCAAATTTCAATCCTCTATCTTGTTCGGAAGGGTAGTTATTGGGAAAATTCGGATTAGCAAATTTGTGCCTATTTCTCCTATTTAATCGAGTACGAAAATTCTGAAAAAAATCTAGTGCATTGTGGTTATTGAGATACGTGTTTGAGAATTTTTTCCGATTTTACGATTCCAAATCCTAAGTGTGAAAAATTAAAAATGCAAAAAGACGCAGAAAAATACCGATTTCGTATTGAAGCTTTCGAGACACTAGATTTATATAATTACTGTAAATGCATATTGTCATTAGTTACGTCCATGAATTTTTTCAGATTTTTTGGCAGGGTGCGTCGTAGTAGCAAAAATCAAAAACCGATTTTTTCGGCGTTTTTCGCATGAGAAAGCAACGCTAATTATTTACTTTAGCAATTCATCCCCAATTTCGATCTTTTTTTCATAATTTTCGTACTCGATTAAATAGGAGAAATAGGCACAAATTTGCTAATCCGAATTTTCCCAATAACTACCCTTCCGAACAAGATAGAGGATTGAAATTTGGCACAGAATGTTTTTTTCTGATGCTCTATCGATGGATCCATTGTATGTCAAATTTGGTTTAAGGGCACATTTGACCCCTTTATTCGGCTATAAGTAATAAATTTATAGTAGACTAATATGTAAATAATTGGGAATGTCGAAAAAGTGTATTTCAGTACAAAAGTATTAATAACAATGAGTAAATTACGTTTATTGCGACTTACATAGCAAATTCAATGAAAATTTATTATTTTTCTCTGTTTTAGCAATTGGAATTGAATTTAATGTGTAAACTGTATTCGACGAAATAGTAATTCCTAACAGTATTAACTCCTCTGCTTCTTAACGTTATCTATTATTAATTACGTTATGTCAAAATTTATGATTCGAAGACAAGATATGTCAATAACTTGTTTAACCGATTAATGTTCTTATGCCCAACGTTTTCTTTTTTTTGATTTTATATGATTGCTCAAAATATTGAAATTACACTACTCAGAATAATTGGAGAAAATTCCAATGATTTTATCATTAAGATATCTCAATATCGTGACAACTTAAACATGCTATGTAAGTTAGAAACTTAAGGCAAATATTATTGTATCAATTATAAAAAAAACACTGATACTTGGTTCATTTATCTGAATTGTTTAAGGTTGTAGGTCACCAATTATTTTTAGCAGTGCGTTTTATAGAGACTGAAAATAAAGTTCGGTTGCTAATCACTATAGTTTTTTGTAGAAATTTTCTTAAGACTTAAATTTGTAATGTTTAATTATTTATAAGACCAATTGTTAAAGTTATATCAATAAACGTGGTTTAATAGTAATAAATGAACATGTGCCCGTACAACTAGAGTAAACGTGGCCGGTCTTCTCGCCAGTTAGTCAAACAGCAACCGATCGTAGATAAAAGACGATCGTCCTCTCGCCTCACTCTCCGCGCTCGCGTGCCGTCCACACACATTCAATACGGAGAATATAGATTTTCTTTTATTACTTCAACACTCTCCCTAAAACTCTGTATTCTCCGAGAAAAGCATCTAAACGATTTTATTATTAATCTGACTTCTACTTATAAGTCCTAACTTGCATCTTAAATTCAAAAATCTTGGCTTCGCTAAAGCCTTAGTAAACACATCAGTAAATATGCCCTTCAAATATCTTATAATTCGTTTTACAAGTTGCCAGTGTGCCTCACTTGGATTTTCGAAAGCTCTAGCAGGTGCGAAACTCAACATGTCAGATCACGCGTACATGAGCTCGTGGAGTTTCGGAAAGTCGACAAAGGCAAACTGACGCATGCCCTCTTTCTCGATTCTCCGAAGCTGCCCGAAGTAATTTCGGACCGTCTCGTGGGAGTCGAGAGAGAAAGGCTCACATTTGCCTTCTCACTCTTAACAACCGAAATTCGACCTCCCATCAACGCCATACGATTTGGATTCTCGAGCCGAGATTCTCGACTGCCCAGGCATTTTTACTTTCGGACCTATGTAGGCGCACATAAGCAAAGTACCCATAATGAAAAAAAAATGTTGTAAAATTTATTTTTCGGAAATACACATTTTAAGACCCCCTGATCATATTTTAATTATGGCTTAAGGTAGTAAAGTCATAGAGCGACTGGATTTGGAGGGCCATGCAGATTTTAAGTGAATTTATTAATTAAATAGCCGCCTTAGGGGCACTAGGTTATAAACAAAAGCCTTGATTGTTTATGAAAAGTGTGACTCTATATCCGCTGGCTTTATGAATTTACTGTTACGCTGCAACAGCAGCTAAAAGACCATCGTCTACGTAAATCACTAAAAACATCTGTTTATCATTTGTATTTATTATAAACAAACAAGGATCCGCTGTCCTTTTTTTGAACCAAAAAATTTTTCAACAAAATCAGTAAAGCGTTTTGACCAGCACCTCGAAGCTTGTTTTAACCCGTATAAACTCTTCAATAATTTACAGACTCGTGGCGTCCCATCGCTAAACCCTTCCGGTTGCTTTATATAGATATTTTCTTGCAAAGATCCGTATAAAAACGCTGTCTTAATGTCAAATTGTGCAAGATGTAATCCGTCGCGAGCTGCAATACTCAGTAACGTTCGTATCGTATCGAAACTAACCACTGGATTAAACGTTTCCTTATAATCAATCCCTTCAATTTGAGTATAACCCTTTACAACTAATCTTGCCTTATACCGCTCATAACCGTCTGAATTTAACTTTGTTGCATAAACCCAACGAATATTAAGAATTTTCTGCCCTTCCGGCTTTTCAACAATTGTCCACGTTTCATTATCATTTAACGATTGAATTTCGTCTTTCATAGCTGCTATCCATTTGTTTTTATCATTTGAATTCATAGCCTCACTACAACTGGAAGGTATAGTCCTTGTAAAATGACACATTCAAATACCGTAAAACTCCCGTCCGTTTAATTTTACTCCTATCTCTAAACTTCCTAGAATTCTCATTAACCCCTCCTGAAAATTGCAGTTTCATTTTTATCATTTTTCTCATCATCGTTTTTCGCTTCCCCTTCTATCTCGATATTATCAGACCAATCGCAATTTTTAACTACTTTACTTTCAACCGGTAAATTAATTTCATGTAAAATTAATTTTTCTGTCTTAAACAATACATCACGACTCATAATTACATCTCTCACACTAGGTACATAAACTCGATACCCTTTGCAATTTCCAACATATCCTACTAAAAATCCTTTAACCGTCTTTTGATCAAGTTTTTTCCGCTTTTCATTCGCGAAGCATTCTGTTCCGAAAACTTTAAAATTGTCAACATTTGCTGTTTTATCATACCAC